TCTCTCTGTCCCTCTCTTCTGTTGCAGTGGCCTTGAGCACACTCACGGGTACTTGAATATGGGCCAACTGTGCTCCTGTGACACCCTGGTTGGTGCCTGGAATCATGGGAAATGGCACATGGCCTGCAGTGTTGGCTGTGTGAGTGATGGCAGATACCAGACCCTCTGGAGGCCCTCTGCCGGGGAACGATGCAGCTGAAGGCGAACTGCTATCCTGTCTATCGCCTTCCCCATCGCCGCCGTGCCAACCTGCTCCAGAGAAAGCACCTTCCGACTCCATTTTACGTGCCAGAAGGGTCAGTGGTCCGGGCTTGCGTTCGGCATGTCCACTCCTCTGTGGCTCTGGGCTGCTACTGCGGCTGCCGCTGCTGGAGGAACCAGAGCTGGAGCTACTGGGTGAGCGCCTAGCTGGGGCTACATCTGGACTAGGGGGGCTCTGTTTAGGGGTGTCAGGTAAGGGGAATGACAACTCTGGAGGCGGGGAGGGGGGAGGTGTTGGCTGGCGTAGCTGAGGAGACAAAAGGGAAGGGATGTGTTGCTGCTGGGGTTGACAGGATGCTCCGGACCTCTCTCTGGTCGTGGGTACTCTAGCTGGCTCTCTGAGGCTTCTCCTCCGAGCACCGCTGTCCCAGTCATCATCGTCACCATCCTCCTCTCCATCCTCGCTATCCTCATCGTCGCTGTCAGCTGGAACTTCGCTGGATGCAGAACCCCTCTCAGGAACACGCATGGCCACAGAGCCAGACGCTGGAGGACCAGACATGTGAGCCTCCTGGTTCCTGTTACTCTCTCCCTCATTCCCTCCAGCAAACATTCCCTCTCCACCAGAGGGGCCTGGTGGCTTTTGCTGCTCAGCCAATGCAGGTGTAACATCCTGATGAGAACAGAAAGGAAACTGAGACTTATCTTGTCATAGCACTATGTCAGTTTTCTACCATGTGAATGATCCAACACAATTCTTACCAAAGAGCAACATCTTTTACAGCACAGAGAATCTCAAGATAGAAGGATTATAAATTGTGATGTGAAAATTGCAATGGATAAAATAAACCACATGACATCCTACCTGGGCTTGAGGAGGACATGAAGTACTATTGTTAACTTCTGCGTGGTCCTCTTGCTCTGTTAACAAAAATCGAGTAAACAAAATCACAAAAATGTTTTGTATAATGACCAAGGATAAGCACATTAACTTAGTTATATGCAGTAGAGGGTTTAAACAACACCTACCATTTGTTTCATATGCTTCACGAGCCTCTCTCTCCAGACGCTGCCTCAGGAGCTCCTGTTGTTTAGCCAGATACTGCTTGATAAAGCTGTTCTGGCTCATTTCCTCACCAATCTAAAGACATAGAGACCATTAAAGATAGGCTGCAAGTCTTGAAGGCCGATTATTAATTCTTTTAAATGACATTTACGAGAATTGTGTTAATGCATATTTTGTCATTTACGTGTAGGAGGTCATTTTATGTGGCTTCTGCCTTTGAAATGAAAATAAAAGCATCTTGGGAACACTTACCTGAGAGTTTGGCTGCAGTCCAACGTGAGCTGTGGAGGTCCTCTGCAGGTTCTCCAACATAAGAGCCTGTTATTAAGACAAGAGACTCTATTTATTCAATGTAAATAATAGGTAAGTATCCTTCATAGTTGGCACTGGTGCTTTTGCATGTTAATATCGAGGTCATTTATGTCAGCCCAGTTATTGTGTACTGCACTGTAATTATTTTATTATGACAACATTCCCATCTTTTGCAAAGTCATGTGAGTCTCTGTGGGCTTTGGCATCAGCATTGAAGGGACAAACACCATTCAGCATCACTGCCTCTTTGCCTTTAATACAACTTAAAGTAGAGAGCAACCAGTAACTTGTGGAGAGGAGGAGGAGGGTGACATATAACAAATTTCCCTGGTCAGATGCAAACAAATTACATGGTAAAAGCCATAAGTTTCAATCAGACCCTAAAGTGCAAGGCCAGATAGAAAGCAAAGCAGATTGAGAATAATGAGAGTAGAGTTGCAAGCAGACCCTACTTGATTCAACTGTGTATAAATTCTACACATTTTGCAGTCATGCAGCATCTGTCCTATTCTGCTGCTTATAGTATTTCACCCTGCACCCCACACACTTGGATATAACCAAAGAAGTAAAGCAAACAACACGTGACTATATTAGGTTAAATCTCCATTTTCATATTGTTTCACTTTGTATGTTGTTTCTATATACAATATCCACTCCTGCCAGAGCTTCCCATTGCCATGTACATTTTTTCCTTGGACAGTGGTTTGCCTTTGGAGCATGTGGGCCTCAACTGTATACAACTGTGCAACCAGAACTTCCCAATTTTAACAGGGACCTTGATCGTGCTTAAACTGGGAACATGCGATGTAGAAACAATTCATGTGCCTTTAAATAAATAACTGTTCAGATTTCACAAGTAAAACAGGGGTGACATAGCGCTATATTGGGATAAGAAACGTTTAACGTGGAGAAGCAAAAATAAACACCACTTGCTGCCTCCATGGCGCAATTCAGCGGACAAATGGTAATCAGCCTACCAAGTTAGAAAAGAAAAGAATGGCCCAACTTTCATGGCGGGGTAGATAAGGTTGAATACCCGTGGCAGTGTAAACAAACTGGCTCATACAGGACCTACGGCAGCTCGCGGGCATGGTATATATTTTGGAGTAAAACTATTCCTAAATTTGTCGGAACGCAGCAAAATGTGTCGATTAAAATTAATTGCACTATTGTTAATTAGACACTCGATGTTAGCTGTTAAACGCTAGCTAAATAACATCTAAATAACGTCAACCTCCCGGCTAAACTCGTGCAGGCTAATAGTGCTTGGGACAGACACCGTTAACGAGAACATACACAGCAGCAAGCCAGTCGCTGAGGCCACCGCTCAACTCACAGCGTTAGCCAGGGGAGCTAACGAGCTAACAGGACAACATAACCCTACCACACACTTTGAAATTAGCTACTAAGTTGTCTGAAGTCCCGCTCTTGCTGCGGTTGCCATATCTCTACACGGCGAACACACTGATCAAACACAGCGTAGAGTAATCAACGCATTTTTCAGCTGACTCGTGGTCATCAACCTCGATAACTCTCCTGCTCAGCAGTAACGATACTCAGTTGTCGGCCCTCAAGAGAGCATCAGCCCGTCTCACCGTTAACGTTAGCTCACACTAACCGTGGTCCCATATTTGAAGCAGAACTCACCCCCTTGAGTCTTTTAATGAGAGCATTCTTCTGTCCACTTTTCGAAAGTCCCCTCTCCTCAAGAGCAGCTTTTAAATCTGCTACTCGAAGAGACTGGAGCGGTCTCCCGTCCAGCGTAACGTCTTCGAGGTCCGCCATTTTCCGTTCCTCTAGTCAGTTCCCAGCGACAGCGAAGAGCAACGCCTTCCCCCACGCCGCGTCATCGTTGACGACTTCCCCCTAATCAAATATCAAATAAATACAAATGTTTCTCTACATTTTAAGTCCAGAATACGTAACATTTACATTAGCTACAATCAAATATATTTGTTTATAAATCATATAAAAATTACAGTTTAAATTTTTTTGTATTTGGTAAACGACGAACTTTGCGCAAAATCTGCGCAAGCTTGATTCCTACAGAACAAAGCTAGTTAACTGCGCACTCTTCCTGTATGTTTTATGGCAAGATTAGCGCGACACTCGTCCAACATCGCTACATTTCGGTTTATATGGCAGATTAGGTGATTTAACTCTACGTTTTAAAAATCATGGCTACACACAACAATCCATGTTATGAGTAGTAAACGTTAAATTCAGACTCCGGCGGTGGTATTGCTTAGATATACGCTAAGCTACATGACGCTATCCCCAGACCAGAGGAATTGCTAATTACCAACAACACAGGAGTAGCTGTTTTTTTCTATCAGGCTGAAACAAACGTGTCTAGCCAAAGGTTTCGCGGATCAATAATGTCAGCCAAAGCTTAAATTAGTAATAACAGCAGCCCACTAACAGCCACGGACTCAAAGCCACAGACATCCTGTAGCATTCACTCCAGGTTCAGAGGTTCAACAGAGGTACCACCGACCATGACAGCACAACACTGGACCGGTGCTACCGGCTGCTGCACTCCCAGCCCCGAGGACTTTCCATCAGCTCCCCAGAGTGTAGTCAGCCCCCCTAGCCTCGAGAACCTGTCCTGCGCTTCTCCGAGTGCGGGTCAAGTTGGAGACCCGGAGCCCATCTCCTATGTAACCCTCCAGGAGCAGCGGTGTGTCCTGAGCTGGTTCCAGGGATGGACCGCCGCTCAGAGGGAGCGGTTCTTGCAGGACCTGCTAGGGAAAGCTGTTCCCGGGAAAGTGTGCACCCTCCTAGATTCACTCAGTACACTTCAGGTATTTTCTGCACTGTCATTTCCAAACAGATGGTCCAGAGAGTGTCATGTATTTTCTGACATTTAACAACTGCTCTCTGTTTTTGCACCTTGACAAGGTCAGAGACCGACTACCAAACATCTTTGAATGCCAGCTGCGCCTGTGGAGCCAGTGGTTTGAGTCTTGGAGAGAAGAGGAGAGGAATCATTTCCTGCACATATTGGAGGAGCGGGATCCAGTGTTTGTAGCCCACTTCTACAGCAGTGTAGCTGGTACAGCAGGAAGAGACTGAGTAGTGTTTGCATTGTGATAGAAAATGTGACATGTGGTGGAGAGTGTGTATTAGATCTGAGATAGTTTTTCTTTTTCAGAGGAATGTTTGTGTTACTGTGATGGGACTGGAAGGTAAACCATTCATATTAAGTTCAGAACTTTGTGTAATGGGTGAAGCGCTGCCATTTAGTGACCCAGTAGTGGTAACTTGAAATAAACAGGTTTAACATCTGGGTGTATGACAAGTAAACATACAGGCCATTTTTTCTGTACTGGGCCTATTGATTAAGACACCTGGAATGGCATGGACAAGAGGACCAATCCTTTTTTACACATCAAAGATTAAACAAAATGCATTGTTTTACGTTGTCTGTGTTTTTATTGTCTGAAACATACAACAGCAGTACTAACAGAAGTGTGTGTAAGACCTCTACATTCTCAGGGACTCTTTTATTACCTACTGCGATGATTACAAATGAGTTAAACTGCTAAGCTTTGACACATAGGACAAAATGTAACTTGCACAGTTATTTATTTTATCCAGTCAGCTGATCCCGGAGTAAGTAAAACTATTGGAGCTGGATTTTCAACCTCATCAACACAGTAATTGATGAATGGATGAATTTTGTCTGTAAACTTTTGACCCACAAATGTGTACATATGAGCTCTGGCACCAGAGTCATAAAAAGAGATCTGCCCGGCCTTGTAGTCCAGCAGAACACCCAGTTGAAGAGGTTGCGTTGTAATTGAAATAGAAACAGGTCTCCTATCTAAAGCTCTATGCTGGCCCTGTTTGTTCATCACTATAGTCCAGTAGCCATTTGTTGGACTGAATGGAAATGATCCCTTTCTTGGAGCAGATTCACTGGACATGCCAATGTGGTAACAAAGCTTCCCAGTTATAGACACCTCCCAGTAATGTCTGCCACTTGAGAAGCCAGACTTGCCCAAGGCAGCGAGAACCACATCAAACCGGTTTGGATTGTCGCGGACAAGTATTTCCTCAGTAGTGGACATCTCAGTTTTATCTGCAGACAGAGATATTCTTGGGTGTGCTGTGTTCGGATCAAAAGTCATCTTACCTGTAAATAGAGAAAATGTGGTGGATCATTTGTATCTTTATATCACATTTAGAAAGGAAATCGACAATAGGAAATTTATTATTAAAATATGTCACTTTCATAAAGTTGAGCAAGTCACAAAAGACAGATCAAAATACATATGGTTAAAACTGAAGCATCAGATGCCACAATATCCTGACTTTTAGTACTTACTATGGGTCAAGCTCCAAAAACACTGGGTCCTACGTTTCCCATAATGCAATTGTATAGCCTGTTTCATTAAACTCTCTCTGCCCGGTAAACCCCACAGCTTCAGTTTGTAATGTAGGTTCCCTGTTAAAAATGAGTAGTCTCCAAGCCCAAGCTGAGGCAACCGTGATGATGTCACTATCAGGGTTGTTATCTCAGACGTGACGAAAACCTCCCCCAGAGCCACGTAGCAAGTAAACTGAATTTAGTTTGTAAAGTTGGCGGAGTGACCCGGAGAAGTCATCTGTACAGTCAGATTTAAACAGATTTAAATCTGTTGAGTACAAAGTGTGTGTGTGTGTATGGTTTTAAATGATAACACTAAACAGAAATGTCAAAGAGATTAAATGAACTCATGTGTGACTCACTGATATGGATCGTCTTATCTTCCACATCAGTTAGTTTGTCTTGAAGATCTGGGGAGAAAATAAGAACAGAACATTTTTTTTAGTGTGTGTGCGTGAGTGCGTGTGTGTGTGCGTGAGTGCGTGTGTGCGTGTGTGTGTGTGTGTGTGTGGTGTCACCAAACAGAACTAAGAGTTACCTTGCACTCTGCTCTCAAGATCGTTCTTCTCATTTTGCAGGTCTAGCATTGAAACAGAAAACAGCATTTCATCAATAATCAGTGGAGCAGCTGGTATCTTTCCTCCATCACACTGTATGAATGGACTGATTGTGTGTATGAGCATTTCCAAAGGGGTTGAACATACTGTCGTAGTCGTCCTGCACTTTGTGATAGTCCGCGGTCCGTTGGTCTACCTCCTGCTGCAGCTGGTTGATCAAGGCGTCCTTCTCCTGCAGCTGCTGCTGTAGGTTAGCAGCGTTCTCCACAGCGTCTTTCACCTGCCTCTCCTTGTCTGTTTGATGAGATGTATAACTGAGAAAACACATCAAATGGCACACTGGACCTCAAGGATACAGTGTCCCACTATTAAACTGCCTGCTTTAAGTCAACCATTACCTTTCCTCTGTTACATCCTGATGAATCTACTCATTGTAAGTACGAGCAGAGACGTGAACTTACTGCTGTTTTCAGACTGCAGTTTTTGATTCTCCTCGGTCTGGTCTTTAAAATCCTGCTGCAGCTGTTTGAAGGCAGCGTCCCTCTCCCTCAGCTGCCGCTGCAGGCGATCTGCATCCTCCTGGCTCTGTTGCAGTTGTCTTTTTAATTCTGTTTGATGAAATATTCAGTGCAAACACTGCGTCACTGGCTCTCATGGACAGACGTGTGCGTCGAGCGTTACAATAAGGTCACATTGAGGATCTCACCTTCACAGTGGGTGTTGGCATCATTGCAGCACATTTTCAGTTCTTTGACCTCTTGCTTTAAGTCTGACAGAGGGAGGGGGTCGAAAACAGAGGCACGTATCAAACACCGACCAACATTATAAAAGTGATGGGCAAGTTTTAATGAAGTTGTTCAACATTTTGGGAGTTAGATGAGAAGATAAACACCACGCTCACGTCTGTAGGATAAATACGAAGATGCCGCTGGTTAGCTTAGCTTAACATAAAGACTGGAAAGAGTGGGGAAACAGCTAGCCGGGCTCTTTCCAAAGGTAGCAAAATCCACCAACCAGCACCTCTACACTAATTAACATGTTATATCTCATTTCTTTAATCTGTACAAAACAAAGGGTAAAAACAACATGTTGTTGTTTTATAGGGGATTATATCGCAGATGATTTCTCAGCAATAAGTGAATTCCCCAAAATGTAATCTGTTTTTAAGAGGTTGCAGTGTACAGCACTCACCTCTATTTGTGATTTCCAGCTTTTTGTTCTCTTTTTGTTGCAATTGAAGTTGCAGTTCCAGGTCTGAGAGAGGAGACAAAAATAACCACAACTAGATTCCAGACAGAAGAGGAAGGTTTCAGGATGTTTGTTTTAGAAAACACATGAGATTTACTCTTTACATGTTAGCCTGAGGAGTATTTATATCATCTATTCTAGCGTGCACAGAAAGAAAATAATTGTTGGATGACAGCAGAAACAGATTGACCAACCATTGATATTTTTTTCCGCAGCTTTGGATGCCTTTTTCTGAGCCTTTTTCAGCTGTGCCCTCAGATCAGCGATTTCCATTACTAGCAGAGACACGGACACGATGTTACTTTGTGCTTTCAGGAAACAAAAACAAACACGACACCAAACATCGGTAAATAAGACATTTTCTTACTCGAGTTAAAATTCTTTGCATCTGTGTCCTTGAGACGAAGTTCACTGTCTTGCAGTTGCTTTTGTGTCAAAGTCAGTCTCGCCTGAAGCTCTGAAAAAGGATTTAGTGCTCGATGAAACACAAAATCATGGTGTTTTACAATGAAACTGTCACGCTTCGTTCTTCACCTGCCATATTCTCAGCATATGTTTCATTGAGGGTTGATATTTCATCTTCCAGTGGTTTGATTCTCTGGTGAAGCTCAATTATTTGAGTCGCTAAAAAAACAAAAAAAAAAGCTGCTTTTAGTATTCTGAAGCTAATTAATAATTTTCCTCCTAATTATGTTTTTTTTTTTTTTCTCACCAAATCTGAGCAAAACACTTACACAGATTAGGAATCCTCATGTCATGTGATTCCAGCAGCTGCGACTTCTCTGCTATCTGACGTCTGACGTCGTCCAGTTCATCCTCCAGGGCTTCAAGAGAGACAGAATGATGGATGTTTTATTTCCTCAAAATGTATGAAAAAGGACTAAATGAGAGGATTTCCCACAGCGTCCCACCTTTGATCTTGTCTAACAGAGCTTGTCTCTGATTATCCTCTTGCTTCTTCAGTCTTGCTATTTCATCTTGGTGAGTGAGGACCTGAAACACTGACGGAAGAAAGGTTGGATTCGTTAAATTCACTGGATACACGACCACGATTGGCAATGGCAGAACTGTTTCCTTTTACCATTATATATATATATAAATATTATATAAAGATAATGACTCACCCAGTTTGGTATTTTCATCTTTTTCATCTTGAATTCCCTCAACGAGATAATTCAAATGGTCTTGGAGTGCTGCAGACAACAGACGTGGAAAACCATCATTTCATATGAGACACGTGTATTTTATTTATTTTCTTGATTCATCTCACAGGTTATACAGCGTTGTCGGTCTGGAGTCCTCAGCATATGCGTCCAAGACATGTTTCTGTCACTCACCTGTGATCCTAACGTAGTCTGTGTCGTTTGCTGCAGCATTCATGTACTTCTCTATCTCTGTTTGTATTGTGATAATCTGTAGAACTGAAAGAAGGGTTACACATTAAATGACAATCCTGTTCTAGCACGTATTCATCTCCCATGTTGACCATATGTGTCGTACAAATCAGTGATTTTGCTACATTTATTAATCCGTGCAAACATGAACGATCTGTAAACATTATGTGTCCCACTCACGTCTCTGTGGTTGAGCGCTTCTTGTTTTCAGCTCCTCTGTCTTTTTGGCCAACTCCTTATTCTTTTCCTCTATTTGTGCTTGAAGCTCTACAGAGAAAAGAAAAACTGTGTTTAAATTTACATGCTCTCCGCTCCACATGCCTCACTATGATCATTATTCAGTAGTTTCTCTGCTACTAAGATGCACTGTATATATATCATATATATATATTATTTGGCAATGAAGCAAACTGACCTTTTATCTTGGCTTTGGATTCAGTTTTTTGCAGTTGTTTCTGTAACTCCTCCAGTTGCATGCTCAATGTAGAAACTTGAAGAGCTGAAAACCACATTTAAAAACAGTTCAACTAAAACATAGTATTCAAATTGTTTAAAGTTTTGCCTCATGTTTAAAACTTTCTACGCACAACAGAATTTAAGAAAAACATGAATTTCTTGCATTCACAATCAGCTGTTTTCCCACAACATGATCAAAGGATCTGGTTTTTGACTAATATGATCCATATGAGCAAGTTTGATCAAGTGATCAAGTTTGAAGGACTTGGTAAATATCACTGTGCATTTTGAACCTTAAAAGACAGGATGATCATGAGTTAATAAAAAGAAAATGTGAAGATGTATCTAATAAAATCCTTCAGGCTTTTAATTTTATACACAGGAACCAGAGATATTTATTCTCACCACCTACGTCGCATGCAACGCAAAGTGGGCTTCCACTCACACATGGTCGGGCACGGGAAATTGAGAGGCCGGAAATGACCTTTGGTGATTTAGCAAAACAGACACACAGCTCCATCACTTACCGAGTGTCGTGACACTGTTAGATTCAGACTCCAGCTTCTTCATGTTCTCGTCCAGGTCACTTTGCAGCTCTACAAGGACACATTTATGACAACGGTTGATTCATCTTAAATCGGATCAAGTTGTTAGGATAAAAGCCAGACTTTCTCTGAATAAACACAAAACACTTCTGTTAGCTGTTCATATCTGCTCAGCAAGACTTTCTGTGTCCGTCCTCTCTCTTTCCAACCCATCTCTTGTCACCGCAGGTGGATGATATTGTCATAAAAACCTCCAAACTGATTCGCAGTTTGTTTGACAAATTTGGAAAAATGTCAATCTCTTAGATTTTCTGGAGATATAGTATCGATGAAATGACACTACAAAACACTACAAAAACATTTCAAAGATCGACTTGAAACCTCTGAACTCCTTCCAGTTTATCAGTTACTAAGATGAACTGTTTTACCAAGGATTACACACCTCACTCCCCACGTGGACTCGTGGAAAAAAAGCAAATCTGAGACTCTTTCATTTTTGTATAAGCCTCCCATTGGGACCTCAAAATTTAAAAATCTGAATCTTCTGGAGGGTTTGTTTTGTTAAATTTTAAGTAATATTCTTGGCGCCTTCCCCTCCACTGTTCAGACCTGGACCTATATCTTTTTTTTTTTTTAACAATTTCTTTAAAATAATCAATATATTGAATAAATGACTCACTTTTAATCTCCTGCTCATGACTGGAACACTGTGCCTCCGTCTGGTTCAGTTTACTCTCCAGAGCTGAAACAAAAAACACATTCACATTCAAATTGATTGTCTTTTTTATTTAATTATTTATTTATTTTTTATTTCCTGTTGCAGAAACTTCCGTGTCAGAACTGAACCGACCTTTGATGGTATCCTGATCACGAGAGTGCTCCTCTGCTTTTATCTTCAGTTGTTCTCTTAGCTCTAGAAAAAGTAAATGTGGTTCAGCTTCAGAAGAAGTTGCAGATAACACGTGTTTTTCGATAATGTCAAAGGGAAATAAGACACTCACTGGTAATTGAAGCAGAAGTTTTCTGGCCCTCATTTTGCTTTTCTTCCTGTAGCTGTCTGAGCTGGTTGTTCAGACCAGTGATGGACAGAACTGAGGAACACGGGAAGAACAGATGATGCAGAAACACGTTTCAGATTATTTCCTCAATCGTGAATGTAGACGTCATGTTCCCTCTTTACTCACTCAGTTCGGCATTTTCCTGATTCTTCTCCCTCAGCTCATCGACATATCTCTGCAGCTCGTTCTTCTTCGTATCAAGATCGTTTTCAAGCTCTGAGGCAAATTCAAAAGCAGTTCAACTACATCTATTAGTTGAATGCAGGATATCAGGATACAGTACTGACAATATTACAGACAACCTCAACATCAGGTCGCGATTTAAATGCAAGGGATTTTTGTCGGAGATACTTACGGGTCACCTGTGTGGATTTTACTGCCTTGACGTCTGACAACTGTCTTTGCATCTGCTCAACCTGATTCTGCAGCGTCATGATCCTCAGCACTGAAGCACAACACAACAGAGCGGAGTTTAATTCAAGAGATGCTGTAATAACAGAGCCCCCCCCCCTCCCCGGTCAGAGGGAGGAAAGTAAAGGATGCTCAACTCGTCTGTGACCTTTCTGCTCATGGTTATTTGACACTCACTCAGTTTTGTGTTTTCGTTGCCTTTCTCGCCTGCGTCACCGATGAGGCTGTCCACTCTGGCCTGCAGCTCTGGGGAGAAAGTAAAAGGTTTTATATGGAGATAACATGTTGTCGTTTGTGATTTAATGTTTCACATTATGTCACTCTGAACTGCGTCACTGACGTTCAAAATAGACTTACCTTTTATACGGTTACTTGTGGTCTCATTGGTACCCTTATTCTGAAGGTCCCAGATTTCATTCTGCAGCTCAATGATTGTTAAAACTGAAACAGAGGAGCAGGGATTTTAACTGGGCTCATGGCCTCAGAAATCTCCTTTACCACAATTGGTTAAACTATAACTAATAGCAACTATGACTTTATTATACATCAGAACTTTCAGTTTGACAACAAGCAGCTGGCTGATACTGAAAACATTAATTTACTGGCTGCTATCACGGCTGCTGTTCTGCCCCCATGTGGGATTTTTGTCCCATGGTTTTCAAATAAATAAGATGTTGATTTTGACTTTTTGTGAAAAGTAATTAAAAGAAGGAAATGAAAATACAAAAAAAGGAAGAAAACACAAGTAAAAATAATTAGTTTGTGAATTTAGTACAAAATTGGCAATTTGTGTAACACTTTTATTTTCATTTATAAGTGATCATATATTTAAACATTATCATATTTACCATTAGGACATAGAACAAGAATACAAACTTAGAAATTACCTCACATACTGAATATATACATATAATTACCTTATAAAAGAAAACTTTTTGCATACTATAGGCTCAACTTGCAATCACACTTATAGTGAAGTAATAATAATTGGTCTCAGTCTAAAGATGGTGTCCTTCAGTTTTTATAGTGGAGTCCTCTGCTCCCTGCCTTCATGTATCACCCGTGTCAAACACAGCAGCGACAAACCCGACAGCGGCTGTGATGTTTAACTGTGACCCCCGGGTGATGACACTGCAGCACGGTGATGTACTTACTTATTTTGGGGTCGGCAATCACTCTCTGGATGTCTGCCGTCTTGGACTTCAGCTCTTCCTGCTTCTCCTCCAGCTGTCTCTGCAGCTCTGCGACGGGACGCAGTGAAGCCGAGGCGGAGAAGAATCAGACCATTTTGCTTCAAGAACATGTGACTGATAGTGAAGTAAACTGTGCCGTGTTCACAAGTAAAACTTGTTAAAGCCCAACTAAGTGGTTAATACAGATACGTTTTAGTCTCAAACATAGGCGGTGATTGCTGTTACCCACCTACGATCTTTTCTGGTTCTTCTGTGGTTGAGATCAGATCCGTCAGACTCTTCAGCTCATCGTGCAGATTTATCACGTTGAGAACTGACCCAGAACAGAGTGAACATCACGACATGGTCTATATTTCTGACACAAGAGGATGAAAACTGAGCGGAGGACGCCTCCTATGAGGGATTTTACTCACTGAGTGCCGCTTTAGAGTCTCCGGCTCCGTCGAGCTCTACGATCTTCTGCTCCAGTTCAGTCTTTGTCTCTGACAGAAACAGACACTTAAGATAAATCAGACCTGAAACTAAAACATGAATCATCAGAGCCTTCGACTGAAGTCATATTTCATAGCTTACCCGTATATCTTTCCTCAAGACTAGAGCATTCTTCACTCTTTAACTTCAGTTTACTCTGCAGATCTGTTGAATGAGAAGAGATGGGCAGGTCGTCAAAGGCCTCCCTTCAGACGAGTCTTACCTATGAATATCATATTCAAGAAAAGTCAACTCACCTGTGACCTGAGCCTGAGCTAATTCGCATGTCTTTTGTTCAGCTTGAAGCAGATTCTTAAGGGCTGATTTAAAACAAAGTAAAAGTTAGTTGGTTTTTTGTTGTTGTTGTTGTTGTTGTTGTTTTGAAATCTTCTACAGCTGTCGAAACTTACTCTTGATCGCGGCCTGATCACGTGAGTACGTCACCCTTTTCGCCCTCAGCTGTTCCTGCAGCTCTAGAAAAATTCAGTTTCGCTCGAGGTTATCAAAGAGCTAAATGTTGCTTCACGCATTCAGCCATCACACGTGAAACTGAGATACTTACGAGTAATTGTTAAAGACGATGTGGTGTTATCACTGCGACGTTCTTCTTCTAGGTTTCTGAGTTGGTTGCGCAGATTAGTGACTGTCAGAACTGAGGAAGGCGTGAATCATATTATAAGGAAATGCTTTTTAAACTACTGTATTTCTTGATAATAAATGTAGACACCATGTTCCCTCTTTACTTACTCAGTCTGGTGTTCGTCTGATTCTTCTCATGGAGCTCATTGACATAGTCCTGCAGTTCTTTCCTCTTGGTCCTCAGATCAAACCCCAGCTCTGGGAAAGTTACAAAGTCCAACATTATAATCAAAATACAACTCAACTACAACTGTCTGCTGATGTTTTCTATAAATAGTGCTGTAAATAGTGCGGCTGTTGTAGAGATGCAGGGGTTTGTAAAGGATTGTCAGAGATACTCACCGGTTACCTGAGAGGTTCGTAACACATCGAGGTCTGCCAGCTGTTTCTGCAGCTGCTCCACCTGACTCTGCAGCGTCATGATTTTCAGCACTTAAGCACAACACGGCAGAGAACGAAAAAATGTAATTTAGTCCAAGAGATGCTGTTTTAACACTGTCAAGAACTTTTCACAGCTATTTCAGACTCACTCAGTTTCGTGTTTTCGTTGCCTTTGCCATCTATGTCGCTGATGAGGCTGTCCACTCTGGATTGCAACTCTTGGGAAAAAAGTAAAACGTTTCTTTAATGTAAATTACATTTAGTCATTTCTGACTTGCCTGTCAAATAATTTCACTCTAAACTGTAAAATTGGTATTTAAAATAGACTAACCTTTTATACGGTTACTTGTGGTCCCATTGGCACCCTTATTCTGAAGGTCCCAGATTTCATTCTGCAGCTCAATGATTGTTAAAACTGAAACACACAAACACGCAGTGAGTTTGCTTATATTCAGTCTTGTGAGTCCAGACAGTTTAATGCTTTCCTGTGGGAGCCACTCTCAATCTCACTGGCCCTACATCTGTTTCTTCCCAGCAACTACCCCACATGTGGTCCAGGCCCCATGGTTGTGACTCAGACAAAGTAAAAACATTAACGATTAGGACGTATATAGTGACTCAGATCGTCAGAGAATCAATTCAGTGAGCTTACTTATTTTGGGGTTGGCAATAAGTCCCTTTATTTGAGCAGTCTTGGAGTTCAGTTGTTCTTGCTTCTCCTCCAGTTGCTTCTGCAGCTCTGTGAGGGGACGAAAGAGAAGCAGAGATCATTGAGAACAGACATTTCTCAATGCAAAACTAAATGGTTAATACAGGTACATGGTTGTAGGGTCAAATGTCCACTGTGTTACTGACCTGAGAGGCTGTCTGGGTCTTGTGTTTTAGAGATAAGATCCGTCAGAGTTCTCAGCTCATCGTGCAAGTTTATCACGTTCAGAACTGACCGACAGAGTAGAAATCGAAATCACTGCATGGTCTTTAATTCTGACACAAACAATCAGAGGACGTCTATCATGCAAACTGAGAAGGATTTTACTCACTGAGTGCCGCTTTGGAGTCTCCGGTTCTGTTGAGTTCTGCGATCTTCTGCTCAAATTCAGTCTTTACATCTGATAGAAACAGACACATAAAATAAATCAGACCTGAAACTAAACCACGAATCATCAGAGCCTTTAACTGAAGTCATATTTTTTTATAGCTTACTTGCATATCTTTCCTCAAGTCCAGAGCATTCTTTACTCTTTAACTCCAGTTTCTCCTGCAGCTCTGTCATGTGGAAAGAGGAAGTCAGATCAAAGTTCTCACCTAAAACTGTACTGTGAAACTTTCAAAAAAAAATAAAAAATCTGACTTCTATGGAAAAAAAGACTCACCTTTTATGTCAGCCTGAGCTTTGGCATAGTCCCTTTCTTTGGCTTGAAGCAGAGTCTGAAGACCTGATTAAAAACAATGTAATGTACAGTCACACATTTAACGTGAAAGAGAGAGTAACATACCAGGAGAGGATCATTTTGTCAACCACAGATATGTTTTTCCTTGGTAACTTAGTGTAAATATTAACGGGTAGTCCTTAGAGAAAAAGTGACAGTCTCTGCTTTTCTGCATGAATTTAACAAGAGAATAAGAAAAGCAGGACTCACGGCTGAGTTGGTTTATTGGTGTTGTCTGCTGTTGCTCATCATTCTTCAGCTCTCTCAGCTCTTTCATCAAGGTGATGATGTTCAAGACTGGTCAAAACAAAAAAACAAAGACTTCAATGTATTGCAGAGATACAATATTTAAAATATCGAGAGTACGTTGCCCAGATTTTGGAATATACTTTATACTTTAAGGCTATAATTTACAGTATTTTGTTTTTGTATTTTAAATGAATATATAATAATTCTATTTCATTAAACTCTTCATATTAAACTCTTTTTCACAATGGTACTTACTCCGTTGTGACTGGTCAGGCTCGACTGCCCCTAGTTGTTTCTCTAAGTTTTCTTGTAGTTTCTTCTCTGCCTCCAAATAAGATTTCAGCTCTAGGATGAAAAAAAACAGTATTTAATGCTTTTCTGATTTTGCTGTAGAGTAACTAATTATTATCATATTTTTTATTGTAAATATAAACTCTTGTTTATAGTTTATTATTTCATAATATGACACTAAATGGACGAAAGTGTGATTTTCAATTTAATAAATTTAAGTAAACCAAGTTTCACAGAGCTCCAGGGTCATTCACCTTTAAGTCGGGCATCAGATAATGTTTTGGAGCTCAACATTAATTGCCTAATATGCAACATTTCAGCCTGCAGAGTCAAAATTTCGTTGGCTGGAGAAAAAAAAAAGGAAGAGTCAAATTAATGCTGCAGTGAACAACAACAAGAAAAAAAGATTTTGTTGAGCTGCACACTTACTAAGGTCTGTGTTTCTCTCCTCGCGGTTCAACTGTAAAATCTTCTTTTTAAGGAGATCAGTCTTTTCTTTCATTTGCCTCTGGTAATCTGAAAAAAGAAACAAGAATGAAGCCATCGTGCAGCTCTACAAAAAAGGTATGTCCATATGAGAAGAGACAGGATTTACAATCGAGACAAAATGTTTAGGGACTCACCAGCAGTACTAGTACTGGATTTCTCAGTGTGGAAACTGATGAGCCTCTCTATCGCTGCAATCTTACTGCTCACAGCAGTCAGCTCCAGGACTGGAGGATACACCAGAGAATATGCGGCAGGAAACAGATAGATCCTGATTTGTTACTATTGTTAAATTATACAGGAAACATTAACAGATGTGGATGGATGTACTGACCAGGTGAGGTCTCGTCTTCTTTGCGTTGTAGCTCGCTGATCTTCTTGTCCAGTTGTTCTTGTAGAGCTGATGAAGTGCAAGTGATGAAGCAGAGAAAGAAACATAAGTACAGACATAAAACTAAACTGCTAAACAGAAAGAAGATATAAAGTGAAATCATGTTTAAACAAGACTGTAACTTTTGCCACTGCAGCAACATATGACAACTATAAGCTTATGCTAGATGCTGCTCTTAAACGACTAACACAATTTAGCAAACTTTTGCTAAAATTGGTTGTTTAAGCTAAATTTAGCAAACTTTTGATAAAAATTGTTTAGCCAAAATCCTACGTTATTGTTAGTAGCAAAAATTGGGAAGACTCATAAAGTCAGTGATGTGACACAGTAATGTGCGTTACACAGCATTATTTCCTTTTATGTTTGCTAACATTAGCTAACATTAGCCCTCACAAGTTAGTGGTGATATCAAACCAAGTGAGGAGGTGGCAGCAAAACCACTGAGTGCATTGAATTGAGCAGCAGTGGATTTTATTGTTAAAGAGTTTGAAAAAATTAGTTATTTCTTGTTAAATAGTCTTGCTTCAAATTTTTATAGCTTAATGTGGAAATATTTCAGTCAACCAAGTGGCAATTTACCCATAATTTTACTGTTGTCCTGAAGACCAGTTTCTCCTCTTCTTGATACTTCCTGTTCTACATCCCAGATCTGATTTTGCAGTGAGATGATCTGAAGAACTGGTCACACACAAACAACCGTCAATTCACAACCACTTTCTACGGCATGAATTTACTGAGAAGGATAAGTGTCTTCTGTTCAGCTGTTCCAAAGCGTTGTGAGAATTTGAACTTACTTGCACAATGAACTTACTTAGTGCTGAAGTTGTGCGGGTTCTTTCAATTTGCTGCTGCTTAGCATTCAGTTCAGCGATCTTCTCTTGCAGCTCACGCTGTAGCTCTACAAGACACAAGTTAGATATGAGAAATTTTCATTCCTAGACACTCAGTTTGAAAAAAGATATTCACACAGAAGCTCCCAACAGGACTAGCTTTGATAATATCCAGCAGTGATACTGGAGTGTATTGTATTGACAGCAAAGGGAGATTGTCATGCTAAATTATAAAGACTTTGCCAGCAGATGTAGAGCAAAGCTTTAAAACGAAAAGTTTTAAACTCACCTGTGGGGCCAGTGGTAATTTCAGAAGAATTAGCAGCAAGTTTGATCTTGTTCTCTAATGTTTTCACCTCCCTGGTGAGTGCAAGGATTTTCAGAACTAGAAAAAAACAAATTTGTATTAACAAATGATGAAGAATCTAAATAAACTGTGACATGTACTGAAAAACTATTTCAAAAAAGAGGTTTTAGTTACGTGAACTTACCCAGAAATGTGTCACTATCAAACTTCTCCAGCTCCTCTTTCACTTTATTCTGCAGCTGGGTTTGATAAGCTGTCAACGAATTATAGACGCATTTTAACATTTGTTCAGCTGTATCATGTCCACATGTGCCACATACTGTACGTAGAGCAGAGGTTTACAATGGAAAGCTTACAGACGGTAATTGTTGAGGTTGTCGAAGTGCAAGTAGCAAGCTTCAGTCTCAGCTGTCTGGCTTCCCTCCTCAGCCCAAAGGCTTCCTCATCTGTCAGAGAGTGTAGAGTTCACAGTGTATCGGAGCAACAGTAAGCCCACCGCTCCTAATTAGCAAAATACCTCAAGTCCTAAAACAATGAATACTTGCCTAGTTTGCTGTTGTGGAGAGTTGTCTGCTGAAGTTGCCTGTTCAGCAATGCTAACTCTTCCTTCATACCTGACAAGGCATGATAGCGATGTTAAATTTAAATTGAGCAAAACGAATGAGTGAAACATCACACTGTTTTTTTTTATACATTGCTATATACACCACTGCATGTCAGCCCTAACCCACTATTTGCATTAAGGCCAAACCAATAACAATTTGCTATATGATTTCTTTGACATGGCCATATTGTTTGGTACTGTAAAGAACCACTCACCAGAACAGGTTTTGATAGTAATTGACTGAAAGAGAACAAAACATAACAAATTATTTGAGATAAATATAAAAGGACACAAAGAAAAGGTTTTTGAGTTATGACGAGTTAGCACAGTGACAACAAATCACACAAGAGACACGTAACTATCAAAGTATTCAGTACATACCGTGACATTTACATTCTTGGGATCAATTCCCTCTGGTAGTGTTATCTGAGGCAAAAACAAGATAGAAGACAGTATATGTAACTATGAGGACAACCCAAACTGTTACATCAATCTTCTTCTCACATCAGATAAGTCACAGTTTTAGGGACTCACTGGGATCCTTGAAAGGATTTTGTCCAACTCTGAAATTCCTGCATTTTTGACAAGAACCGTCTCATCATGTTGGACTGAGAAAACAGAGAAGAACCACCATCAACAATCAACTGAACGTAAGAGTCAGGGTTTAAAATATTTCCATTCTATTCACTGCTTACTAACAGACTGTAATATAGATGGATTACTGTTCCTCACCGTGTCTGTTGTCAGAAGCTTGACAGATACAGGAGAGAAGCAGGGGAATCCAAATGAAGTGAGAATTTCCAGCCATTGCCTGTCTCATGTCTTCTGAAACTGTCTTCCTCTATCAGGAGTTCTAATGCTTTTTATAGCTGCACCCTTCAGATCAGTGTCTGGTGATTGGTGTTGGCTTCCCAAAAGATAAATTGCATCAGTTACAATAATGCAGACATTTTTATTTGTCCTCAGCAAACACTGTGGGTGTGATTCGGAGAAATCAGTCAAGGTTCATCAGTGGCCCGTTGCCAGTGCAAATCAAAAAAGTCTAAAACAAACTAACATAAAGATACGGTTTTAAAGGAATACAGCAGCAATAACGTAAAATTGATCAAACCACTTAAAATGTATGTTGACTGAAATAGGACAAAGTGGTTTGTTCAAATATCACACTTTTCCAATCTGTGCCTGCATCAAAATAAAGAGAAGAAAATGGTTTGTTTAATAATAATACATGAGTCAGCAACATTTCAACCAGTGACTGGTTTTGATTTACACTATTAACACTGAATAAATGAGTAATGTAACTTTGTGATGGCACAATAAAACATTCACCACACTGTGCCATTCCCCCGAGCCTGGCCACTGCACCCACCATCCAGCCGTGCAGGATTTGGTTTCTTTGGTGTCTCTAGGGACACTGTGCTTTTATTAACAAAAATAAATGTTTAAACCACTTGCCACTGGAGGATGACTGCCCACTGCTCTAAATGGATGAGACTGATTAAATACAACCTATACGTAATTGTAGACAGGTAAACTCCTTGTCATTGACAAATGACAGTGGAGTCAAGTTCAGTGCACAAGAAAACTGGCTCTAATCTGCTGTTCTTTCAAAAAGCAAGAAACAGACACATTGGGAATCATGTAAATGCTAATAATATTCAACAGGTGATAAAAGTAACTCTAAATCTGATAATAACCTAATCCTAACTTTTTCAAACCTAAACGCAACAGACAGCAAAGGCCTGTCTTTGGACTGTGGGAGAAAACACAGTTCATGGTATCCCACTAATCATAAAGGGAACAAGACTACACATCACATGTACACGCAGGGCTACTGGGAGACAGAACTGTTGAAAAGAGTTACATAATACTGAATATTGTACAGTATTATGTATTTGTTTGGTTTGGTTTGGCTTTTTTTTCTGCTGACAGTATTCCATGTTGTGTAAAAAAGTTTCCCGTAAAGTTCAACTGTTGATAATGATTGACTAAATCTTTTCTATCCAGGTTATTCATTGGCCAGCTACCAGAAGTTTTAAAAAAAAAAAATGGACAAATACGGTATATTGGGAAATAGTAACTATTTATTTGTGCTGTTACATTAATACTTAACTCAGGTTATAAAAATGTAATGATAATAATTCAATATTTTTGTTTATATTCCTGATTTGTTTTATGTGTAAAGAGTATGCCATCATGTGTTGGAAGGATAACACAGGCGGAGCTCTATTTCAGAATCCCTTTTAACTAGTGTCCCACTAAGCCCCTCTTAACCGATCACTAAACTCATCACTAATAGAGCGCCATTGATTTGCCGGTTCAGTCAGAGAGACTGACAGGTTATGACACCAAGTTGAAGTCATAAATATAAATAATGTTATTATAAACTTCATATTAGATTCACTGCTTTTGGGAAAACATCCGGGGCTGGACCACCATAAGCCGCCCCCCTCGCTCCGCCTATGGGCTTTAAGGCTTTTTATGTAAAAATAATAATAATTATAATAATAATAATAAGTGATGCTTCACCATCAAATAAGAAATGTTTTTTGAAGCCACCACATCGCCTTCATATATAAATCGTAAAACCAGGGTTACTTGGAAATATACTTGTAACATTTAACAGGCTTTTGCATAGGCCTATGTATTAGTGCCACTACTACCACTACTACCTCCTCTCATCTGTCTGCAGACTGCCGCCGTTGATGTGTGTATTTTTAGGAGAACTACAGCGCCATCCTGTGTGCGTCGTTGTAAGTTAAACCAAGGACCACCTCTGACAGGTCCGATTTATGTCTGTCGTCATGTAAACTGTGGTCAACTTAACCACAACAGCCTACATCGGTGTTAAAATTTGAATATTACTTAACTAGCAACTAGCACCAACAGCGCATGTGTGACGCTCAGTAACAGCGTCAGTAGTTTATTGAGACACTGAAAATAACAACTCCTTGATGGTTTAGTCATTTCGAAACATGAATATATTTTAATGACGGTGTGCAACTTATATTTGTCTCCAGGGAGTTAAAAATAATAACAAAGGAGGAAGTTAGCACAAATGAATCCTCGGTGTGAGATACTCTCGTCTGGCGTCTTCTCGCGATATTACGGTAGACGTGGTTCCTCGGTAGCCTTGTAACTGTCACAATGCTGACATTGTAGCTCGAGGCACAGTTGGATATTATTCATAACAGGAGCAAAAGCCAACGTGACAACATCACCGATACGTTTCCTTGTTGATTGCCGCCTAAGGAGTATTTTTGGAACTTGACAAACTAGATCCAGCGGTTTCTGTGGAGTAAGGTATTGGTCTTTTTCGATGCACTTCAGCACATTATGTAAATCTGTAAAGTTTTTTTTTTTTTTTTTTTTAAAACCTAAAACATAAACTGTTAAATAACAGAATCTCAGCCCTGGTAAACATGAATTATAGCGTTATGTAGAGGCAGCACCCTACAATAATTTAATCAAATTGTATAAACGAGTCAACAGTTCAACAGAAAAGTCTTTGACTGATTTAGAAAAGGTTCGAGTTGTTATAAAGATGCCAATATACCTCGTTAAAACGAGAAGAATTTAGTTAGAAGAGCAAATGCAAATCAAATGAAAGAAAAACTATCCTAAGAACGACCTTATGACATGGAGGTGTGTGTTTTATTGTGAGTAAAACGACCTTAAGATGTTTCTGAACAGATGTTTCTGGTGTTATCACTGCCTCTCTTATCTCAGTAGTAAACTTGTATTCTGTGTTATAACTATCTTGTTTTCCCCCTCCGAAAACATTTAACAATAGCATTTCTATGGCCTTTTATAGTGGGGATACAATTTTACATCTATGTGATTTGGGCAGCATTCTTTATTTAGGTTAATACCCGTTAAACTTATCACTGATAAATCATTAATCACCGCTATGACTCACGATATCAGAGTTATATCAGCTGCATATGCATAATACTACAACAGAGAAGTTGTGAAAGGCAAATGTAGTTGTGTAAGACAACTACAGATATCAAGTGAACTATGGACAGTGGGTGGTGACAGCACTGTTTCATTCATGCAGCCATGTTTATGGTCATTTAAGGAACTTTTATTTTTATTTTTTCAATTCCCCATTTGACCTCTGATCATATCTAACCCCCACAGACCAATATTCATCCTGTGCACTTTTAGCTTTCATGGTGTGTTGGAGCTTAACGCCTACTGTATGTGGTGTTGTTTCTTCCCCCAGAGATGTCCCTGTCTGGCTGGGTGTGTGTTGTAACGGGTGCCTCCAGGGGCATTGGCAGGGGAATAGCCCTCCAGCTGTCTGAGGCGGGAGCCACGGTCTACATCACAGGGCGCCAGGAAAAGACACTGAAACAAACTGCTGCAGAGGTAAAAATTTTGAGCTTGAGTTTTCCTAGAAGGGCTAAATCAGACGGCTGTTAGGTAGAGAGGGAAAAGCAATGTCCGTTAACCTATCTTGTGATGACAATGGTGCCATCACTTTGTAATCCATAAGGTTAGCTCCCCAAAATGTAAATTTCCTCCTTCTATCCAAATATCTGGTGGATGACCTAAAAAACGTTGCATCTAAAATGTATTTTTACTTTGTTGTTCTGTGTAGTAGTAGTAGTGTTTCAGTCAGGATTTGTTACGGTTGTTTACAGCTGATGTCTTTGTTCTCAAAACAGGTCAAGGAGAGGGGTGGGAACTGTGTGCCAGTCATCTGTGATTCTACGAAAGATAAAGACATTGAAGAACTGTTTGAACGGATCAAACGCGAACAGAATGGCAGGCTGGATATGCTGGTGAACAATGCCTATGCTGGAGTTCAGGTGGGTACAGTATACTGCACTGACATGAAACACGACTTTGTAAATTGCATACTTGAAATAGTAAAAATTATTTGTAGTACACTTAATGTAGAGTAAAGCTGTATGAACAAAAAGGAAACAGCTGGTAAAGAGGACTAACCACTGTGTGATTTACCCGAACTTGACACATGATGTTGCTTCAGGCTATTTTTGAGAATATGGGGAAGAAGTTCTGGGAAACTGATCCGTCTATATGGGATTCCATTAACAACACAGGCCTCAGGTAGGTTTTCTTACTTAATCATATCTGATAAATTCACGTCATTGTCTGCAAACTGCTTAGTCATGACCTTGAACACAGTGAGTTTTCCTGACGTCAACTGTGACTCAACTTGTTCCCCTTTGTCACTAGAAGCTCTTTATACATAACAAATAAAGAAATTGAGAGTGAAGTGATACATAAAATGATATGTTTTCTGTTAATTCCAGCAGTTATAATTAGCACATTATTAGAGGTATTCTAAAATTGAGAGTATAAAAAGTATTTAACTTATTCCTTTTTGTGTTTATCTGACAGGGGCCACTATTTCTTCTCAGTTTATGCGTCTCGGTTGATGGTGGCACAAGGTCGAGGTTTGATAGTCACCATTTCATCCATGGGAGGACTGCGGTATATCTTCAATGTGCCATACGGTGTCGGTAAAGCTGCAGTAAGATCTCTACTCATAAAGTCCCAGATTTATGTTATCAAGACCCAAATCTCTATTAACACAGCACATGCGCTATATAGTCAGATCTAAATACTATATTTGGACACATTTTGTCAGTGTTATATCAGCCTGTTTTGTTTTGTGGTTTGTTTCCAGTGCGACAGGCTGGCAGCGGACATGGCTGTTGAGCTGAAAAGTCGGGGAGTGGCTTCTGTCAGCCTGTGGCCAGGGCCAGTACAAACAGAGCTGGTATCACAGTTGATACTGGAGAAAGAGCCACCACAGGGTGTAAACTCTAAGGTAGACTCTTCTCTAACAGCAATTTCTTATTCATGGTTGCTTCTTCAGTTTTTTGCTAAATTTCTCGATTTTCTTCTCTTCAGTTTAAAGATGTATTTGCCAGTGGAGAAACCACAGAACTGAGTGGGAAGTGCATTGTCAACCTGGCAAAAGGTAGGTTTGTACTGTAAGATGCGGTAGTCACTTCACAGCTGAGTTGTTAGTATGGAGACTGAAATGGCTTTAAGGGCACGCGTCCATGCAGCGTTTTTCTCTGGCAGAAAAGTGCTGGTAAGGCGCTGGCGAGCGATTCATCCTGCATGGGTTTTGTTTCTCTCACAACAATATCTTGAAAACATGTCAACACTGCTGTTGTATGATAGACCAGCATCACCCGTTTGCTGTTTATTGCTATTAGTCTGACACTGTTAACAGTATGGTGATGAAAGCACAACACTCACAAGTAACATTCAGGCCCTGATCAAACCTGATATTAATATCCATCTTGGGTGATCAGATCACAAGTGGACAGCTCTAAGTTCAGGGGTGAACTAAGATACTTAGAGCTGACCACATGTGATCAGATCACTGAAGACGCATGTTAACGCCAGGTCTGAATAGGACCTCAGTGTTCAGCCGATCTGCTCCCACAACTGGGCTTTTCTGTCTTTGTTGTGATAGTTTCCGTCTGACATATACAGCTCGGGATAGACGGGCACAGTCAGAACAAGCTTCTCCTCCATTTTCTTTTGTTACCAGGGTGATGACTCCCACCCCATCTGATTGGTTGGCTGAAAAGGAGCTTCAGTGATGATACCAGCAACTTTTCTAAAAAAGTTCAGAAATTTTCAACTAGAAGAACTTGGAGTGACTTCACAAAAAAAGTGGAGCGCTTTCTCTCTCTCTCTCTCTCTCTCTCTCTCTCTCTCTCTCGCTCTCTCTCTCTCTCTCTCTCGCTCTCTCTCTCTCTCTCTCTCGCTCTCTCTCTCTCTCTCTCTCGCTCTCTCTCTCTCTCTCTCTCGCTCTCTCTCTCTCTCTCTCTCTCTCTCTCTCTCCTCACTGGGAACAATTGAAAGTAGAGGCTGACGCTCAGGAAAGAAATGCTCTATGGACACACACCCCAACACCTCCAGTCCAGTAAATGTCAGCAAGAAAGGCTTTATAGGAGTCATTTTACAGGAGTGAACACACATATTTGATCTGCATGCTGTTCATTTTAACAAGTTTTCATAAACTTCTACTATAAATGCTGAAAAGCCTTTACTGGTTCAACTGATTATTTTAGAGAGGCTTGTTCATTTTCAAACTAAGTCTGTTTTGAAATGGTTTCTTTCTCCCTGAAAGATAAAAGTCTGATGTCGCTGACTGGGAAAGTTCTAATGACTTGTGACCTGGCAAGACGCTACGGGATACTAGATGTTGATGGTAAATTTGTATTTGCTCTCTCCTAATTTTCTAATATTTGAAAATGTATGTTGTGAAATTACCATTTGTGCGTATGTGTGTGTGCGCACTTAATTCTAACACTTTGTCCATCTGTTTTTTTTTCCAGGGCGGAGTGTAGTCGATTACACTTCCCTAAAATTCCTCCTGACCCAGGTCCCATATCTCTCCTGGCTCTCAGTTGTTGTCCCAGCATTCCTTCGCCTGCCACGCTTTGTGCTCACCCTGGCAAATAGTCGGTTCTAAACATTTCCTGTATCAGTACTGAAGCGGCAGTGTACTTGTGTTTCAGCAGACTTAAATGGTCCAAATATAATACCTATCTAATGGTTGGTGATCAGAACCAATACTGATGGCTCAATGATGACAAGAAAACTTACAAGCCCAAACGGGTAAACTATTTAGACTGACCTATATATCTACATACACATTTCTTGTTTTGGTTTTTTGAAGGAATATTATTTAAACTGTATACCGGTATATCCATTCCTGCTTGAGTACTAATTGAATATGATTCTATGAAGTAAACATGAAGAATTAATTAGCATATTCTCTATATTTGAACATTAACACTAATGTCAACTGTGAGTGAAACCACAATGAGAAAATGGGGATTATTAATATCACTATATATGTCCTTTTTTTATCTGTAAAACTGAATATTACACATATTATAAACATATAATTGTATTTTTGCACCTATTACGTACATTTATTTGTTATATTCCTACTAAATGTACATACATGCAACACTACCACTACTGTATTTGCCTGGTAAATAAAGTAATGTGAACTTGCTTCTGGTTACACTTCTCACTCCTTCTTGCAAAGTAAGTATAAAAAAAGAAGTACTTCGATATAATGGAATCCTTTGCAGAAAGACTAGTATCTATATCTAGCCAATATTATTCTATTATTTAGCATTAACAGTATTATAAATGCTACCTCTGACTGAGATACAAAAGACTTAAATACAGCTGCCTTATTTTCAGAGACAGAACATACTTTCAGAATATTGCTCAGGGACAATTGTGATTGTACTATACAATATATTGAGATACCCAAAGAAAAGAAGCTGTGAACTATTTCTTGTGGGGGCTTTTGTATAACAGTACATCTAAGTTTCTCTGAATCTTTTTTTGGTGATACTTAGGGAAATGATAAAGGGCCTTAGCCAGAGTTTTAGAGATAGTGAGGTCCTCCCAGAGCAATTTAAAATGCTTTTTATTTGGATTTTTCATATTTTATTTATTAATTTATTTAGCTTAAATTTTTAATTTAGTGTTGAATTTTATTTTTTCTTTTGGTTTTATTTCTGAACATTAAAGTCTGTATGCTGTTTGAAGCCCTCTCCATACTGCTAGCAATGCGATTCTAGTGGAAACCGTCTTCTTTGCTTATTACTAAAATATATTTACAACGGACTCTGCATTTGTAGTAGAATGCATTAGTAGTATGAAAAATATGCTCAGTGGTAGCAATGGCTGTGGGTTTATAACTCAGAAGATTCAAGGACCTCTGGGGGTCTTGAAAAAGGGGTTCCAGCATAAACATTAGAAAACTTATTAATTGGAGCCGGGTGACTGTTGTGTTTGAATTTAACAAGATAATGATTCTCGTCGAAAACCGTATCAGATGTTTGTGGCCATGATATGAAGAGGAGGGTGGTGGTGGGGTGGGGGGGTTATTGGTGGGTGGTTGACGTGAAAATGTTTAGCCTACTGCCACGGATTTATTATACAAGCGCCTCCTCCCTCCAATCCATGGTCTGCTCTCCCAGACTGGCACACCCACCCACCGTCACTGTGGGAGAGTCGTTGGGCCTTCTGGGCTTCCTGGTCCTCAGCTCCGCCTCGCCTCGATCTGGCCGGACAGGGGAAACACTTCTCAGTTAAAGAACAAAAGCAACAACGGACAGACCGAGGAGGACGAAGTAACGGCGACTCCAGTTCAGACCCGAACCTCACGGATTGAGAGATCCGTGTCCTCCGCGGCAAGAACTGGCCGACGACTGAACTCATACGAAAGGCGACAAACTTGGTCGCCTCGCATCTTTGTATTCCGCCCGTAAATCGTCGAGGTGCTTGATAAATAAGACAAGGGTCAAACAGACAGACAGACGGTATTGTTTCCCTGGTCTTCCTCTAAACTTCGGCTGTAAAAAGCGAAGTGGCAGAAGGGAAACTCCGGGTTTCCTTTGTTTTCTCTTCGCCCAAACGGACTTCGGGGAGAAAGGGTTGTTTTGGCGTTTTCGGTAAGTTTATTTTTATGTTTCACTGAAGCGTGTCTGATGGCGAAGTGCGCCTGTGCAGTGTGAAGCGTTTTAGTTAGTACGCCATAAAGGGGGAGACACTGGACCGCTATTGCCACTGGCCCAGTGAGCAACTTTTATAGCTTTGTTACTCTAAAACAAAAGACACGATGTGTAAACTCTCGCGGGCGAATTAAGATAAAATATAAAACAAACTGGGGCAGCCACCACACGAGCTCATCCCCACGGCTTTCAGCGTGTCACGACTGACTAATACAGTGATCTCATGATTGTTAGCTATGTTTTTGGTACACTTGAAAATTTCTTGCGTGGCTCAAGCGACCTAAATCGTCGGCCATGGCGTAACCTGCTAACTAAATGCGCAACATTTCCTCTGCTACTCCAAATTAACAACAACTCCTCCAAAGTGAAGAGGATGTACTTATTTCTAAGGCACTGCTCGTTCAGTAGTTACAAACATATAATTAGGTAAAGACTGTATTGATAAAGATGCCCATACTGGTCAAGAAGTAAATCTGAATCATAATAATTCCTTGTATTTAGCCTCCTAGCTGCTAAACTGAGTATCCATTGTTGTATTGAAGTGCTGGCTCAACACCTGTTGCTTAGGAAGAAAAAAAAAATTTGTTTAGTTTTTCAAATCACTTTTTTCTTAAGAAATATCTGACGTTCAACGCTAAGTGTGAAGCGTGTCTAGACTCAGACTTGAGTATGACTAATGCAGCTCATTTTCTCTTTTCTCTTACAGGTTTCTGTTGTGGGATCTGCCTTTGTGAGGAGGCTACACTTATCTTTCGGGACTGAGTACTTGGAAGTGGAACAAAGCCCGACTGGGAAGGGGTGAGAAATAGACGGTGATGGATTTTTCGTAGATGCCCATTCCACACGCTCCCACCCTTTGTGGCCGATCCCCCCACTCACACAAAACAAAAGTCAGTCACCACACTTTGGGGGAGGGGAACCCAGTCTGGACCGAGAGTATACGACTAGTTTCACTGGGAGTTCAGAATAAGAGTGCAAAGTAGGGGGGGGGAAGGGGAAACAGCTGTCAGATAATTGACTTTGAGAGTGAATGAGAACAGAAACTTCTTAAAACTTCATAGCCTGTACTCCTGGCTGTGCTCTTCAGAAGAAATGTTCTTTCTTCCTACAGTTATCTTATCTGTGAGGCAGTCGTGACAAGAAAAACGTGCCAACAACTAACTTGGCATTTGTGTCTCTTTTCTAGGTGAAAGGCCTTGACATCCCAGATGGCAACCTACAGTGAACATAATGGCAGAAATGGACTATTTGTGGGCATGAAGGGGTCTTTCGAAGGAAAAGCAACAAAGACAGAATGTGAAGGAAAGCTTGAAGCTAAACGGCCCTCCAAGGATTTGCGCCACTCTGCCAGCTCAGCAGAGAGCAACGCAAGCGGTGTGGCTAGTTTCACCACTAACCACAACTCTGTTGTTTGTCTGCCTCTGGTGTCAGAGGGACTGAAACTAGTATGGACACAGTCTGATCAGACCCGTGAACTTGACACAATCCCAGAGCTGGTCCAAGCCTTTAACTTATTTCCGTACCCATCATCCCGTGAGGTTAACACCCTGGCCCGGCTATGTTCCTTGCCGCTGGACAAAGTTAAGGTGTGGTTTATGGTGCAGAGAATTAAATATGGGATCAGCTGGTCTTCAGAGGAGATAGAGGAGACACGGCGGAAGCTAGCAGTACCTGAGCTTTATGTTGACTCTACTGAAACAAATGAGGAAGGCAAAACAAACGACAAGAGTGAAATTTGTGAGGAACTGGCAATTGAGGAAAAGGATAGCGATGAAGTAGAGGGTGCTCTCACCAGCATCACCCCCCAGAAAGTGAAACCAAAGTGTGAGTCACCAGATTCCTATAAACCAGCCAAACCCTCTGTCCCATGTTTCAGTTCCACCCTTCCACCTCCTCAGGATTCATACTTCTACCGCCCACCAGCAGACACGCCAGCAAGTACAGCAACTGATGTCTCCCTTGACCTTTCAGAGTCATCTTCGCGGCAGCACCGTCATGGGCGCTACAAAAAGTCTAAAGCTCAGCTCGCTGCTCTTCGAAAGAGCTTCCTGAGAGAGAACTGGCCTGCAGAGGCAGAGCTCAGACGTTTGCAGGAAGAAACTGGGCTGACCCGCAATGACATTCGTAAATGGTTCAGTGACAGCCGTTACCAGCTTAGGGTTGGCCGAGGAAGCCTGGCAGCAGCCCAGAGCTATTCTAAACACCCTGCTGTGGGGGGTAAACATGATCAACAAACTCAACCTCTTCCACTTATTACTCAAAAGACTCGTCATCCTAATAGTGTGAAGGGCAGTGAGGCAGCACGTAGCAACGGGACTAAAAATTCACATTTCTTTCAGACCTTTTTGTCAAACACCCTGGAAGCCTTTGGGGAAAGGGTCCTTGAAACAGAAGAGTGTGATGCTATGGAGGAACTTTCTGGTGATGGCGACAGTTTTAAAGACGAGGAACAAAGTGAAGAACAACCCTTACAATTGACCAAGACCTGCAAGATTGAGCCAGATGTTCCACAGGAACCATCAGGTGTATTAAAATCCTCTCCCTTCTCTTCCACCTCTGGCAGCCCACCACTGACCACCTCGCCCACTAAACCGCCTTCAAACAGCACCAACACATCAAAGAAGTCAGCCCACCCAGCCAAAGCCAGTCCTTCACAAACACCCGTGCGCGTCTCAGGGGCTCCTTCATCTGCATCCACGTCCCCTGCTCTCACTCCCGCTGGGCGACCAAGAAAAACCAAGGAGCAGTTGGATGTGTTAAAGCAGCACTTCTTGCGCTGCCAGTGGCCCAAGAGTGACGATTACACTGAACTTGTTAAGCTTACAGGTTTACCCCGGGCAGATGTTATTCAGTGGTTTGGTGACACACGGTATGCGGTCAAAAATGGTCAGCTACGCTGGGTGAAGGGGGTCCGTGACCAGTTCTTGGCAGAACTCGCTGCCCAGCAAAGTGGCAGTGGTTTAACTAATGGAAGTGGCTCTGGGACCTCTACCCGAGTTGGCGGTAGCCGTAAACGAAAATCTCAAGCAAATGGAACAAGTGCAGATTCCCCTGATACTCAGCCATTGATAGCATATTACCTTTCAACAGGCTCACTACATGAAAAAGACCTTGACTCTCTATGCAAGAAATCAAGAATGAGCTACCAGCAAGTGCGAGATTGGTTTGCATCTCAGGATGTTGTGGAAACTGACCAAGAGCCTATCATTACTGATTGAGACACTGGAACCAGACTTCAGAACATTTATCAAAGTAGGTGGAGTGCTCCTCACATCCTTTGCACCAACAAGCATAGTTATTACTTTGGTTTAAATTGCTTTAATTGAGGCAGGTTTGAAACATCCAGTCTTCCCAGTACAAGCCCCAAATCAGGTTTGCGTTTTTTATATATGCTGCATTTCTTGCTTATCCTAATATATTTGGACTTGAATTATAATTGTGCTGCCTGTGTTGCTGTAAATAGGACAGTAACTTGTACACTGGTTTGCGTTATTTTTTTGAGCTTATTATTTTTGTTTAGATATCACTACTACAGATTTTTCTAGTATGCTATTGTAGCAGTATAATTTAAACTGGTTGTACTTTTGGTACCTTACTATAGCAGATAAGTAACTGCTCCAGAAAATGTCTACGTTGATGAATTTGTTGACTGATCACTGTGTGTCATCATTCCTTTACAGCCAATAATTCCTTATCATGAAAAGCACACTGGACATGTACACTTTAAAATGACATCTTGCACTTTGGTTTTAGAGCCTGCTGCCATTATGTTCATTAAATCCAATTCTTTCTCAAAAGATGAATTCCTAACTAAACAGTGTCATTCTTGATCCCTTAACAATGAAACCTTTTAATCATCATGTCTTTTGAAAACATAAAATAGTTCCATCTAATTTTATTAATGTCTCCGGCATATTTCTGAAACATTCCTAGTTCTCTGTTGTAATATTTGATTTACTATTTGAATACTTTGCTTGTCATTTGCATTTAACTGCACCTTTTTAATAGTAAAGGTTAACAGTATTAAGAAAGCAGCAATCACATTGATATCATACAGATATCAGAATTGCCAATTTCAATTTTGATTTGCGCTCATTGATTCAGTCAGTAGTTTTCTCTCTTTTGTCTTAATAGGTGTAGGCTGTGACTTGATGGTTTAAAATATAGACAAAGTAGATAACTGATGGGGGTCCATATACTGTATAAGTAGCAAAGGGTTTGAATCCAAAGAAAAATAACCATTCTTTTTCTGTCAACTCAGATTATGAATGATAGTACAAACATTATACATTTGAGTTCTCCGGTCATGTATACATTGCTGTGTGCTGCAAGAAGAAAAAAACTCCACACTGAAGAGCCGTACTTAGTCGATCTACAAGGAATCGGCTTTAAATGGAGTCAGAGTTTAGTTCCTTAGAAATGTCTGGACAGAGGTTAGTTGACCAGAATGTTGACAAAGCAGTATGCATCACTGTGTTTTGTCATCTTATTAGTCATGAAAGGTTAACGCAAGTGTCATGCTGTGGGGCAATGTCCGTAACACTTGGTTTCCACCTTTGCAGGTGGTATTCAATGTATTTTTTCACAGTTTGAAAAAAAAAAAAATCTCATATCACAATTGTGTCACTGGAAACCAGTAAAGGATTTGCCTTTATAATCATGTGTGCCAGCGATGGTTTTTTGTGTGCTGTAGTGAATCCAGCTGAGTATGACTGATCAAACTATCAATGTAAATTCTGTGTTGTGAGCAAAAAAAAAAAAAGAAAGTGAGTGGCTGAAATTAATCTGAAGAAATGTCTTTAAAATTTGTTGCCACATGACAGTTTAATTCCTTAACAGAAGATTGATATGGTAACATCGGTACAAAGTTCATGTTAGCTTAATAATTATAAAATATCTATATTCCTTAGTATCCAAGATATTTAATCACTTGTGCCAACTGTTTTTAGGTGAAAACAAATTTGTATCTCTGAACAAGACGTGACAGTCCTAATGAGCACAATAGCTAAAGACTGTCACTGGCACAGTGCCGTTTCATTAATGCCTGGGAGACTGTATTGACAATCCACTCATAAACTGGAACTGGAAACCAGGAGTCTGATGCTGAGTTCTGAGGACGACAGAAATGTACTTACTCAGCAATTACATGAGTGTGTCGCATCAAGACAATTTAGAAATGTGATCCTCTGTTTCATGGCAGAAGTTATTTGGAAAGTATTTCCTACCTTGCAGAGGTGCTGAAGGATGTGGGTGTTCCTTATTAAAACAGTGGGAAAAAAAGGGGGATTTTGATTCAGGACGGAGTACATTCAGTTTCGAATACGATCAAGCAAAGTCCCTACCCAGTTCAATAACAGAGCCTATGACAGAGAAACGAAAGTGTGTGCGCAACCACACTTACTGCGTCCGTGTTCATAAAGAGAACTATGGCTGGAAACAGAGGTGGCTGATCCAGGAGTCTGGCAAAAACAGAAAGAGGGCAAAGTGTTTTCTTGATTTTTTACAACAAAAGTTAAAACCAAATCATTACATTTGTGAAATTCTGCATAATGTTTATATAGAATTATATATATAGTAAGTACTAATATATATATAAATATATAAAGAGTACTAACAAGGATCTTATCTATGAATGTATAATTACTGTAGAGTGTGATACATTGCTGACCTTGGAAAAAGTAATTTGACAAAGGAAATCTCAAATCAAGATCCCCTTGTTGGCTTTTTCCTGAAACTTTCAACCTCACTTCACTGTTTTCATCAGAGGATGAAATTCACTCTGACTCCTCAGTTGTCATGGACATGGTATCTTCATAATAACCAAACAGTCAGATGTGGTTGAAAGGTCTGACAAAAGCCACAAAGTGGATCTTGGGTTAGAATTTTTTTTAAAACTGCAATTATTACATCACTAAGGAATTTCAAAGGTTGCATAGGAATTAAATTATTAATTTACATCTTTATTTTCACTGTTTTTAAACCATAACATTAATTTAGGTCAGGAAGTAATGACCTGAAGACAATGTAACTGGGAGACTTACTGTGAGGGAGGAGAGACTGCGACCTCTGTCTCTGGCCCACCCCTGGGACTCTGCTGTACCAAATTGACTGAGGAAGAGACAAAATGTTTGAGCAGAAGATGTTATATAATTCTTTTCTGTGTAGATATGTGATGATGTCGTAAATACAGAATGAAATGCAAACCTGATAGTTCTTAAACGAGGGGTAACTGGTAAAAGAAAACATACATGTATACATCTTCATCAACTTGAATCAAAAAATATTAAATTGACGGACACTAAAAACAAACAATTCAAATTACATCTGGGTTTACCTGGGGAGGTGATAGCGACAGGAAGTGACATCCTTTGAGCACTATATATAAGAAAAAAATGTATATTCAATCATTTTAAGAACTTAAATGCTGAAAGGTGTTTCAAACACGATCATTCGGGGGTAATTTGGCCTTTTTTACCCATTTATTTGAAACTGTCCTGGAGAAACCTGAGGCAAGTAGAAAATGTACAGGATGAATTAGACATCTGATGAACCAACTAGACATGGACGTTTTAAGAAAAGTGAAATTTTCTTAATAGAATTTTGGAACATTTACCCTCCTCTGAGAAAGTGGCTTTTTAAGTTCAGCAGTCTCTCTTCTCAGCTCTGAAAGTTGCTTCTTTAAGACAGCATTCTCTCTCTTCAGCTCGGAGAGTTGCCTTTTGATAACAGACATGAGGAGAACAGCGTTGCAATCAAGGTTACACTTGAACAGCCGCGAAGGAACAATAACAGATATTGAAATCACCTGTAGCCTTGCTCAGTGACTTCCTTCAGACGCCCTTCCATTTCAACAGACTTGTGCTTGAAGTGCGCTGAGACTCTCTCTCTCTGTGTCCGCTGAAAAAGCGCAACCTGAGGAGCATTAAGATCCCACTATTAAAGATTCTCGCAGTGAAAATAGTTGTGTAAATCAACTTTGGCTAGCGGATAATAGGTCAGCGATTCCCAAATGATCTTATAGCATAGCGATGCTTAAGTGAAGCTTTTAATCTTTCAGTCTCATGCTGAATGACTCACTGACTGCTCTGACATTTAAAATCCTGGTATAGCAATTAAAAAGGACTGATGTGATGGAGCTTGGGGTGCCCACTGCACAGAGGAGACAGACCTGTGATATGTGCTCCAGCCGTGACTGGATGAGCTTCACAGGGTCCTTGAAAAACACCTTTTCCTGTGGCTTCATCTAAAATAGAATTATGTGCATGTATAATATGTTGGCTGTGTGAAATAAAGTAATCCTCTGTTGATGGCATCAGACAGAAACCTGCAGTGAATATGTCAAACTCACCAACCTGATCAGTGATGGGCAGATAACTGCAGCTGGCCCCACATACGCTGCACTGCTCTGAGAGAAAAGACAAGAGGCAAAATTTTCTGTCACACTGTGTCAGATTTGAGAGATGATTTTAGATAATTACAGAAAAAAAGTGGGATAAAATTAACTTAGCAGCCAGAGCAGATAGAAGATAACACTCTTACTAGATTTAATGCATGGTTCACAGCAGATGTGGCCACAGCTGGATACAGCAAACATAGCCCCACTCCTTTTGAAGCACTGGTTACAATGGAACCAGTCCATTTGAAGTCCTGTGTTTCCTCGTCTGCAAAAAAATAAAAGTTCACTATAAGTTCACTATACAGAAATGTGATTATGTTACATTAAATATTAAACTACTGAATATGAACATGAGTATGTGGACACCCCAGTTAACATATTACACTTTTGTGTATTTTTGGTGCTTGGGCTATATTTCATGGTTTTGGATAATGTGTGCTTCAGACTTTGTTGTAATAGTTTGGGGAAGGCCCTTTCCTTTTTCAACATAATAATGCCCCTGTGCACAAAGCCAGGTTCATAAAGAAATTGTTTTCCCAGAGCTGGAACACTTGCTGTTATGGGAGTAAAAACCTCCCGCCAGGTTCCAAAATCTTGTGGAATATCTTCCCAGAAGACTTGCAACTAACTGTCACAGCAGGATACAGACTTTAATTAACACCATACACACATGTAATTTACGAAATGATCGCTCTATTCATGGCTATGGGCAACTGAATATTTGTTAATATTGTACCCATGCATTTGTTTTTCGTCTAAATACATGTGTCACGTGACTATTTGCACCGATCATGACACTGATCGCACCTGCTGTAAAACTTAGGCTAGTTGATTTAGCTCAAAATGGATGACGCCCCGCTGCTGTTGAATGTGTTCAATAATCACTATTCGATATGTTTGAGTGTCCGCATACTTTTGGCCACGTAGTGTACCCGTCTGCGGATTCTAAATAACTAACACACATACACACTGTACAGCGGTTGCTATGACAACAGCTATTAGCTGCAGTTTGATTGTTTGCTAGCTAACTTTGGCTGGAAACTGACAACCGGAAGGTAACAAAAACATTCAAAACTTTAACATGATGGCTGGGAAATATCTGCTTTTTGTTTCATTACCTGTGACCGTGCTCAGAAGTTGTTGAAGTTTTAAATATTTCAGACAGTCGCGCCTCGTCGCAAATGACTAATCCCGTCCGTTTTCCGTTATGACGTTTTAACGCGCCAAAGATAAGCCTACATTACATCACGGGTTTTAACAGTGACAGATCAAAACGCTTTAAGTTATGACTAATATGGACATTTATGAATCAGTGTTTCTTTAATGCTTCGAAAACTAATTTGTAGCTCTGGAAACTTCCTGGAAATAATGGATCTGGGGAAAACATGCATAATTTCAGTACAGATTATATTTAAAACCTTGATCTCTTTAGACCAGAGTTATTTTTGCTGCTTGTAGTTTTACTTATAGTCATCTAAAAACCTCACAATCTAGGACACCTGTTGCACCACATCAGGTCATGACCTGCACTTTGATGTGAAATTCAGGATATTTTAGCCTTATAGCTTAATCATTAATATTTGCCTACTTAATCTGTCAACCACTAGTGTCAACATGTTTGTGTGGCCAATGGAGTGGATTCAGAATCAGATGGCAGTTCAAAGTGTGAGTATATGCATAGAACGTGATGCAGCATTTTAGTTATACTGCAACATGAAGCTGCTAAAATAATCCAGTCACTGCACGTTTCTTTTGAAACGAAAGATTTACACTAAGATTAGCCTGGGAAGAGACAGCATGAAGGTGCCGCTTTACCAAAAGTTTCATTGCAATTTCAGATTTGCTTACAAGACATTTGTTTCACCCATAGCAGACGTAAATAAGGTTCCTATGCAAGATGTTTGGAACAACTTGCAGAACACAAATGAGTCAATGCTGTTTTGGAAGTTGGAGTACAATATAGTATTATGTTCATATTTCCCCCTGGCAGTGCTCGTCCGATACCATTACTGAGGTTCAGACAATTTTACAACACAAATGTTTGAATAATACTGAGTCACATTTTTGCTAGACTTCAAAATGGGACAGGAAAACTGGTCAACATTTCAAATGGCCTTATGTGTGCACACACTCAGTTTTACCCAGGAATAAAATTCGAGCTGCCATCAAGGTTATTCAAAAAGGACATTTAAAAAGACAGACCAAATGATTTGAGCTTTGTTCAAGTTAAGTGGTTTGGATAAATCTTTAATGGCCACAGATCTGAAATGCAAAGAGACAACCAGGCACAAAGCTTTTAGAAGCTTGCAAAACCCAAGTATAAAAACCCAATTCAGATTGAAGGAGCCAGTCCATAAGATGGATCCATTTCTGAAGGAAAAGAAAAAAGTTTGAAGGCAGTTCTGAAGCAAAATAGTGTATTGTAAAGTAAAATTAAGTCATTTCTCACTTGGATGCTTCAGGAATTCACATCAGTGATGGTAAGTGGCCCAAGGACTGCTTTTTGTACTACTCCAAGCTTCCCTGTAAAAACAAGCAGTATTACACCAAATACAATGAGACCAGTTCAGTCCAGACATTGCCCAGACACATACCTGATGCTACACTCCTCATCCTCCTGGACTTGCAGCTTGAATCACAGCAGTCACATAGATTGGCATATGAAGGGTTGTCCAGAAGCTCCCAGCTGAATGAGATAAGAGTCAATGATTAGTTCTTGCTTTGACTTAAGGTGGTATAGTTTTAGTACCAGTTACAATTGGACTATAAACATAACAAGCATTTTTACCCATGACCTTGGACATAGTGACAGGCCTTCTTTGTGCTGTCGAGACCAACAGGATCCCAAGCCACAAGTTTGCAGTGGATAAACACCTGTTAAGTGGCACGGCAAGGCATTAAAAAGTTATGTTCCAGTATTAACAGATTAAGTCTTGTATCTGAAAGAACATGTGCCGTTAATACAGTGAAGAAGGTTTACCTCTTTTCCAAGTTCAAACCTAAAGGCCTGAAGGGAAAGGTGGATCTCGGATGATTTTTGCCGTGGTTCAAATTTTGAGCGGGATGTCTGACTGTCCACAAGACATCTGTGGGGTTAAACATGAATAAAGAAGTTTTTAAAAGTTTAAGCATTTCTTCCAAAAAAAGGCCAGTGCTCATATTTTCATCATAACAAGAGTACCCTTTATTTGTGATTATTGGGTATAAATTGCTTTCAGGCTGCAGCTCTGGCGTGGCAGCAGCTACACATTCCTCAAGCAGCAGCAGCAAGGGCTGATGGGTCTTCTGCTCCACACTGGCCATGATTGGGATAAAGGAGCCCATAGGGAAACTACTAGATTCAGCAGGGCCCGAGAAGTCATCTAGAGCAACAGATAGATTGATTTACTGTAGTCAAGGTGCCGATTCTGCCATTTCCATTGAGCCTATGTACCGTGTGCTGACACCTACCATTCATAAGCCCAATGTGGAACACCAGATCTCCCTGACCATATGTATTAAACACAGGATCATAGCTGAGCGGGTACCAGTCTTTTGGCCTACACAAGACAAAACAGATCGAGTACAGAAACTACTGCCATTAATCACATGAACCTGTTTGATCACTTTTACTTCACACCCAGTGTGGAAGTAGCATGAATACACACCTCTCATATGTACAGGCGACTGGGCGAGTGAAGGGGACTATGTGAGAGTCAGGAGAAGAAATGTAGGTCAGATCGTTGGTGTACATCAGCTGATGCCCTGTGACCTACGAGGGAGACAAATGTCACCAGGCTGTAGAATATCGATTACTTACAATGTCCAGTTCTAAAGTATGCTACTCACCATTCTCCTGAAGTTACAGTCATCGAGGTCCACACTGAAAACAGCCTCCCTTGCCGTGAAGCTGGTGGGAAAACAGTTACCGAGACGAAAGAGTGACGGATCAGCCCGGGATCTGCTCTCTGTCCACACCAGCGTCACAAAATCAGTCCTACAGTCCAGCTTCATGTCTGTCAGGGACACAACACAGAAAAGAAATAGTCACATTTTTAAACAAACAGTTTGAGTAAAGAGTGTTAAAAACTAAAAAATTATTTTTGGTGCAACAATACCTGCATAAACTGAAATGGCAGCTACCAGGCTCAAGAGCAGAGCACCTTGCCAAAGGGAAGCCATCATGACTGAACACTGGAGACTAACACTACTGGGGCTTTTATCGCTTTTCAGCGCTGCCTGGGAGACGTTAATCAAGTTAACGTCTCTCACCTGGTGTGTGTCAACAATCTCAGGTGCAGCGGCCTTCAGCCTAATTGCAACACAACTTATTTTGATATGGTGCAACTTGATAACTATCATTTTTACTTTTTATTGTGGTCATGAAAATACAATGTGAAGTACTTTTTACACATATGCATTTTTCACAGATATACAAAGTCAACATCAGGAAACGATGAAATTTACTTAATAGTGTGAGAGCTTGTACATCCATGCAGAGAGCGACAGTGTGTATGAGCCGTCAGTGCACACTTGCAGGTTAGTTTTGTCAGTCGTCTGTTAGAAGTATCACAATGGAAAAATTACAAACTATATACAAAACTAAGATTTAAATCTCACTTTCACATCCTTTTACAAAACTTGCCTTTTGCACTCAGGCTTGTCTCCACTCAATTTACATATATGGCCATAGATTTAGAAAAACCTCAAGCTACAATTCTCATCATTAACCTGCCCTGACTCAGTATCTGCTGATAAATGCCAGGGTTCACAGGGGCAATCCCCCTGACTTTTTCAGCACTGATCTGAACCACTTGTGTGTGTGTGGTCTGAAATCCTGATACGCGCATGATCTGTGACGCTGCAGTTAGTAATCAGTCATTTCACAACTCAAGGATTCGTCCCCCGACTCAGAGCTGCCGCCTGAGGTAAAAATGACAGCTGTGAGTTTTCAGTGTGAGAAAAAAATGGCTGCGTTTGAATTTAGGGGCTAGATCTTCTCTCCTCTGCGGCCAACCAGGTGGCTCTGAGGACCTGAAGGCCACTGATCGTAAATGTATCGTCTAGCGTCAGAGATAAATAATGCAGGAGGTCCTTCAAGTGTAAAGCCAAAAGTTTGAAGCCTGTTGTGAGTCAGTCGCCTTGAAAACCTCACAAAGTGTAAATACTAATAATAAACTGGGACAAGTTATGAGTTTACAAGTTGTGACATTTAGCATCAACAACCTGCAACAGTGTGGCAGGTTACAAGGTTACACCTCAGGCTGACATATGCAACTTTAGGTTTTTATGGATGGTATTTTATTTCCTGGAGTTGTGTGCCGACTTTATGGATAACCAACTCACACGTATCTCATTTGAAAAGTAAAATCACAGCCTGAAGTGATCTTTAAAAGCTCAAGCCAAATCTCTTTAAAGCTTAAAGTGATGAACAGCAGCAGTATAAAAGTGCTCTTGGCTGGTTTTTGATGGCAACATTAAAAAAAAAAAAACAAAAAAAAAAAAAAAACAGGGTAATGTATGTTGCTGCTAAAAAGATGAATAAATGGAGCAGAATCATAACAGGAATTTAAACCAGCTTTATTGTACATCAGAGGATGAATCTATAAGGTTTTGTGGCAATTACTGCAGTAGGTCCTAGTAAATCTGAAATCATAAAAGTCAAGATTAAAGCTGATGTCCCGACATCTTGTTATGTCAGGAAGGAGATTGAGGTCATCTGCTGCCGGCCCTCCCGTTGTGCAGGGTCATGGAGTCTCCATCAGTTTAGACTGGGTTCATCCTGTGAAGAAAATGTTGAGAGCTTTAATCCTCATGTCCAGTTTTCCCAAATTTCACGTCCCGACAAACAGTAGTGGTAGTAGTTTTAATCATTACACCAGAGAGTCAGCTGCTGCTGTTGTGGGCCTTCGTGTCAGACGTCTCCGTGATGACCAAGGGTCCCAACACAGAATTATGACTCCAGCTGTGAGATTCTGCAAAAGGGGGGAAGGGGACAAAAAAAAATGATGATAAAGACTTCATAAAAGAGCGAGCACAAACTAAAAAACAAAAAATACCCCATTCAGCTCCTCTTTTGGGGCGGGACGTGCAGGTTGAGTCACAGCAGCTGCAGAGGGAGCTCTGAAACGGGTCATCGAGTAGTTCCCAGCTGAGAAACAAGCAACCATAGTCAGTTTTTAATACTGGAATGATGAAAACAAAAAAAATAGCCAACTACTACCACCAGCAGCCCAGTGCAGTGTCCTGTTACCAAGAAGTACAGCACACAACCCGTCATACTTTCCACACAGATATGAGTTTACTCTTGAGCAGTGAACAATTTTCCAAAATGTCACAACCAAACCACAATTACCTCCCATTTTCCTTGACGTAATGGCAGGCTTTCTTGCTCTCGTCAAGAACTTCAGGATCCCATGCAACCAGTTTACAGTGGATGTACACCTGAGGAGGACATAAGGAGTCAGTATGTTTTCATTTAACTGTCCCCTGATATCAGCCATAAACCATTTACCCCCTCACCTCCTCTCCGAGTCCGTACTTGAAGGACTGCAGGTAGAGGATGATGGCAGACGAGTGGTATCGAGGAAGGAACATGGAGTTTCCCCTCACGCTTTCCATAAGACATCTGAAGAAATTTTAAAATCTTAGATTAACATGATTTATCTTCCATGACAATTACTGTCAAGACCAACTAGCATCTGACTCCTACCCCTTATTGCTAATGATGGGGTAAACCTGGCTGCCAGGCTGCAGCTCTGGTGTTGTGGCTGCCACACATTCCTCCATGAGCAGCAGCAAAGGTTGATGGGACTTCTGCTCCACTGCTGCCCACAGTGGCATGAAAGAGCCCAGGGGGATGACATTTGTCTTGGCTATACCTGTTAATTGCTCTATAAAAAGGTAAAAATAAAAGGGCTTAGAAGGCGTCCTTGAATATGCTTCCTGTTGTATTTGCCAGTGTGAGAACTCACCATTGAGGAGAGCCATGTGGAAGTGCAGCCCGCCACGACCGCCTGACACACCTGATCCAGGGTTCAGGAATGGAGGAACCCACACCTCAGGTCTGGAACAAGAGGGTGTTATTCCTCATCACACATTTCAGCCTTAAACTGGAATTTAAATCAGAAATATGGAAGAATAATACTCTACCTTTTGGAAATGCACTCGATGGGATACACAAAGGAGGCAGGTTTTGGCTTTGCCTGTGGCCTGTAAGTCAGTTCATTCTGATGGAAAATGTTTTTCCCTTTAATCTGTACGAGACGGAAAACTGGTCACCTAACTACCCAAGTGGCTGAAAGGTATTCTGTGTGTATATATATATATATATATTATATATATATATATATATAAAAATCAGAGGTACTTTACCAGTTTTTTAAACTTGCAGTCAGCAAACTGGTAGTTGAACAGTGCTTCCCCCTCACCAGTGGGTAAGACCTTCAGCTGAGATGGCATGCAGCTTCCCAGGAAGAGACGAGCTGCATATGGCACCAACTCAGCACTGATCCTCCATGTGATTTTTACTGAGTCTTTTGCACAGACTACGTTGATATCTACAAACAAACTCTTATGGTGTCAGTTTCTGTAAAGGAAAATACTTAAAAAATTGTACATAAGGTTGGCAAATTTCTACACGCATGTCTGAAGAATACCTGCATTAGTGACAGTTGTTACAAAAACGGCCACGATTATCACACCAAGGTAGTGATGCGTCAACATGATTAAATGATCCAAAGCACAGAGGAACTGCCACACTTTATAGACTTCCTGCCTAATTAGCTAAATGATCAACACCTGTGTAAAGGGAGGATGGCATTTGGTCAGAGTTTCTACTTATACTGGGGTGTTTTTGTGCATTATGATGTATACATTTACACTTAGTGGCTTTGATTTTGTCAATTTTCAAATGCAGTTTTAGCACAATAGTATTTGATGTTGTAATTTCTTTAGTAAAGTATATTTACTAAAATATTTGAGGTGTTTTAGTTTTATGCTACTGTATATTTCTGCTTTACAACGTTTCTGACTTTTTACTCTCCTACTTTTATTTGACACCTATAATTAGTCATTACTTTACAGCTTAATATTTTACTTACCGTTCCGTTTGTGGCTGTTTTCTTAGAGCGGAACGTTTTTACTCGTGCAGCTTGAAGCCGTGACGTCCGGAGCGTTTACTGTGTTACACAGGAAGTAAACTAAAGGCAGACACACAAGCAGGTTGTAAATCGCTAGTTTATGAAGTGTTTTGATCAGTTAACAGATCATATCATTTTGACTTGAGGTATATTGTTTATTCAACATGCTGATCAAAGTTAAGGTAAGGCCACTGTTTTATCTACGATTACACTCCGCCGGTTCGTCGCTGCTGTTGTTCAGTATCCCGCTAACATCACTGACCGGGTCGCTAATTTATTTCAGGGCAGTACTTCTTTTATTCTAACTTAAGTTTATCTCAATCGGTGTTGAACGGGTTTATCTTCGCCTGGGGTTTGACCCAGTCTTCAGAGGAACCGCCTGTTGGCCACGGACGCGCTGCTCTTTGGGTCATACTTGTCGCTGTGTAGTAGCTGTGTTGTTTGGTAGCTTGCTAACTTAAAAGCAAACACCAAAGCAGGTTAGCCAATTCATGGGCCGGTGTTACAGCTGAATCTGTGACCCTGGAGATTTTGTGATGTTAGAGGACAAACTATAAGATGGGTTAGTGCCGGACTGGAATAATAAATCAATTAATCTAATAATCGATCAACAAAAAACAATTGGTTCAATCCATTTGGGGTAATAAACATTAAAATTCACCTGCACACACATCTTTGAACTCTCCTTGTGTTGACTGAAAGGTTCTGTTGCAGATAATGTGTCATTTCAGAAATCAAAGCTGATGCTGATGTGATGATAACTTTATGTTTCAGACTCTCACTGGAAAAGAAATAGAGATCGACATTGAGCCCACAGACAAGGTGACCACATTAATTGAATTGTCCTTACAAGATAAAGCAATGCAAACTTAAATACCCTGAACTGACAAAGCTGTGTTTTGTGTCTAAATGTCCTGTGCATCAAGGTGGAGCGAATTAAAGAAAGGGTAGAGGAGAAGGAAGGGATCCCCCCGCAGCAGCAGAGACTCATCTACAGTGGAAAACAGATGTGAGCTCCTCCACTGTGAACTGGCTGTGTAGTAGTTGCAAATATGTTCTGATTAGTCATCAGGTATTCTCCTCTAAACCACTGTGTCCTCCCCCCTGTGTCCTTTTACCCTCAGGAATGATGAGAAGACAGCAGCAGACTACAAGATCCAGGGAGGCTCGGTGCTCCATCTTGTGTTGGCGCTAAGAGGAGGATCAACGGTCCACAGTCCCGGCTGCATACACCTCTCCTCTTTGTCATGAGTTGCTGTTGTCATTGGGCCAGCTGAGTGCCAACGCTTTAGGTGTCTGTCTCCGTCTAACCATGTTACAGCACAAAGATTTGAAATCCCACGCTCCTGGGCCAATGCTAAAAAAAAAAAAGAAGAGAAAAAAAGAAAAAAAATCAACAAGAAAGGACGTTCTTATTCCTTGGTAGATGTTTTTCATAAACCCACATTGGCTTTCTGAGTTTGACCATTTGATGCAGGCACCCATGCAGTACAAGAGACAGTTTGAGAACACTGTGGTCTTTTTGCTTGTGAATAAATGCTGAAGTTAATTTAAGCGTTGTCCTCGAATACACACACACACACACACACACACTCACACACACACACACACTGAGCACAGACACCAAGACAAGTCACTGGTGAGGATTCTGAAAACTGATTTTTTTTATTAGAAAATGGCATGAGACTGAAGATTCAAAGACAATATAAACAGTTGATAGAATACTCCCCCTGGTCTTTTCTGTACACTTTAGTTCAGGTGGTGATCTGAAACAGTCTGGTAGAGATTGCACTGAAATCATTTTAGAGCACCATTGTTTACATCCAGTCTCCAGTATTTTTAAGAGGTCTGTGATTATGAGATGGTTTATCAAATAACTACGATTACAGCCTATACTTTCTTCATCTAATGTGTTTTACAGCCCACTTTTTTGTCCTTCTAAACAAGGGGTTGCATTAGAGATTTCCAAAATATGTCTAATTGTGCTTATATACTTAATATCGAAAATATACATCTTGTAAACAGCATCATGCCCATTTTTCTTGTATCACTGTACACAGTCTTCAGAAAATAAAACAACTTAGTTAGGAGCCTCTGTAAACAATTGACCAGGAGATATCAGTCATAGAAAGCAAATGCTGCTTGTATGGGGATGATAAAAACATGTTTATATGACTACAGTACTTACATTTAAACCATTTCATAGCCTTCAAAACTAAATATAGTTCCTTTTTTTCTTTTTTTAAACCTCAGTCCTTGAGGGGATGAAAGGCACGGGAAATTATTAGGGAGTGGATACTCAGATACTCTTGAGCTGTTCAGCTGAATGAGGCAGGAAAAGTAACAAAAACAAGTGAATGCAAGACACACGGTTGTGTTTAAAATCTTCTACCCTTCAAACTCCAATTCACATCTTTGCGTTTCCAAATAAAATCAAGTGTAGTGGATAAGATGATTTCATATTAGTAGTAGTGGCTCATTAGTTAGTATTTAGCTGCTTTCCAACTTAGAGATGAAGGTAGAGGCAAATGAAGAAGAAGTGAGAAATCACTTTGAGTTGATGTATACATGGAGTGCTGTCTGGGGGAAGTTGAACTAGTGGCTCGTACTCACAGACAGAAGCCATATATACATAATAATAATGGAGCAAAACATTCCTAATACAATCAACAGGAGTAGCTGGTAAAAAAAAAACCCTGGATGATAATGGATTTTTGTTTTGACAGCTGTTATTCCAAACTTTATAGAAAAAATACTACTGTTTAAGTATTTCCATATTATACCTGCATGTTCCAGAGCTTGTGTCATCAATCACATTTATACTTCAGTTCCAGGGAAGGGGCAAACTATGTGACTCCTTATACGAGGCTGTGATTTCCTGTGAAAGAACTTGTGTTTTTCAGCCATAAAAAAAAAAAAAAAAAAAGAAAACCACCAACAAAACTGGGTATTTGAGCAACAGCAGCTTGGGCTGTAATGTAGAGGGGTTTTACAGCAGACTGCCAGTGAGGGTGACGCCTGCTGACTCATCCACAGACTGTTGTCATAGTCCAGTTGGACTGACTACATGCTGTCAGAGTCCTGGGAAGGAGTCGATCTGGACTGTGTCCTGAAAGGCTGATCCTTGGCTGCTGTGAGAAATGCGGATCCTCATCTTCAGGTTCACCTGGACGGGGGAGAGAAGGACTTAGATAGGCATCGTTTTGGAATTATGGATAGCTTTTTGTTGAAATCAAAAACAGGTCTGTGGGTGTGGAGAATCATTCTAATATAATTTTACAATGATCAAACATTAACTACATTTATGGGTGGTCACTTTCTTCCTTGCTGATTTAGTTTGTTATTAAAAAAAAAAAAAAGAGATTGGTCTCACATGTGACTGACCAAACTTTGCCTCCTAATCATAGTGTTGTGTTTGTGGCCGCAGCCTTTGCAGACCCACCTTGTTTGGGTTGTTGAGGACCACCATCTGGATCACCTTAGCTGCGCCTCGTGCAGGGAGAAAGTCCCCACTGGGGGCTTTCATGTGTAACTGGACACTCTGGGGGGAGATCAAATACGACTTTGAAGTTTAAAGCACTGAACACATTCATGTTGTTGCTGAAGCTTCCACTGAGAACCGGACAGACTCTAACACTGACCCACCAACGGGCCTGTGGCCAAGATGTGACACATGCTGAGGTCATGAGTCCAAATTCCCCTGCGCTGCCCCACACCTTGAAGAAATGTTTGACCACTGACCAAAGAACTGAATGAATTTTATGTGTTTCTGTATCACAGTTATTCAGTTGTTATTTCTGTAAATGTTCTCTCCCTACACATACTGAAGGTTTAGATTCTGTTTCTAAAAATTCTCCCCACTGCCAGAAACATTATTCTGTTATTATGTTATATTATATATATTATGATAGACAAATACTAGATACTGTTTGGATATAATTTAAAAACTGTATTTCATTATTCTTTCATGTTTTATTTTAAATAGAGTAAAATAGAGATATTTAGTCTTAAGAAACACGATTAAAACTGTAATGGTTAAAATGTTTTTTAACCCATTTCTATTTTTTATATTTATATATAGTTTTTTATAGATTATAAGTTCCTCTCCAGGTCAATAAAATCCACAAGTCCCAGAAACAGTACGTCCCTTGACGGTAGCTACATCTCTGGCACAAAGCTACACCCTGGTTGAATGTCAGTGTAACTACAGCTAAAAGATGGAGCTGGGGTAAAAGTGTGTTGACATTTCCAGCTGTTTTTGTCGTCCACCACACCAGAACCAACCCGTCTGTCAGGGGTCCCTCACCTGCCCAACTGCCCAGTAACTTTTTGACACTGGTTAAAAAGAGACTTATAACCTAACCCTTTTTAAAATCTGAAAATCACACAGTTTTGTGTCCACATGTTTGGACATTTAAGACTTTACCAGACAGCTTGAGGTGTGGCAGTTTATGATGAATTACACACATGGTCTGACAGAAGCAGTTTGCTCGGCGCCGTGTTTAATAACTGGTACTGAAACAAACCTTGGGTACGGCCGCCTGCAGGGTGAAGCCGCTGATGTCTGAGTCAGTGGAGTTGGAGGCAGTGAGTGTGACTGTCAGGCCTGTGTCTGACTGTTTCTCACAACTCAGTGTCAGAGTCACACCTCCTTTGTCATACACCGTCACTGAGGGAGCTGTGGAAAGAAGATATTAGAAAATGCTGCATTTGATTTAATTTAGGAAGATTACCTGATTCAGAGCAATGAACAAGTTTCAGTTTGCTAAATTTAGCATTTTGTTTTGTTTCCAAAATCTCTCAGCCTTGTTTCTGTCTCTCTTTCAGTCTCTACTGACACTGTGTGTGTGTGTGTGTGTGTGTGTGTGTGTGTGTGTGTGTGTGTGTGTGTGTATTAGACCTGGTGCAGTGGGCGTTGGCTCTAACCCTCCCAGCAGATCCAGGAGGTCTCCTCCTGCAGAGCTGGCTGTGTTGATGGGCAGGCCGGGTGCTGTGCTGCTCTGTGCTGGGCTGGGCTGCAGAGGCTCCTCAGAGCCGCCCAGCAGGTCCAAGAGATCACACACCTGAAGACAAGCAGAGACACAAATGGAAAACTACAGCTTCTTCATTTGAGCCTAAACCCAAACATGTTTTTGTAAGATAATATGAGAGTATGAATAATAATCAAACTAAAAACTGGGATTTTACTACAACTGAACAGAAACAGAAGGGTCCTGTAGTTGTGTGTCCTCACTCCTGTATTTGATCAATGAGTATTTCACCTGTAAAATGTTGCTAAACCAGTTAGATTAGTATTATTAGAATTTGATTTGCATAAAGCAGAGAAAATGTGAGGCCAGAGCACAAAACACTGCACCGCCGTTTGACTAACACAGTGCTGATAATTTGCATGATCACACAGGTGCTGACTGTTCACCTGGTGTCTCAGAGTAAATGACACACTATTTATTATGGACAGGTCATAACAGAAGGTACAATAAGATCAAATATTTAAAACATTAAAACATAAAAATAGATGTTAGGAGGTTGCAAACATAAAACTCTACAACAACTCGCTCACTCTCAGGTAGAAAATCTCATCTACCTTCAGATTTAAACATATTAAAACTCTGAGGAGCCTTGTCTGAGGATCTTAGGTTTACAGTCCTAAAACAGCTTGACCTAGTCTGACTCACAGGATGTAGCGCTGTGAGTATAAGCCTGCCATTGGCCGGTCTCCTCCCCTACCCCGCTATCTGCCTGTTGCCGTTTTCAAAATCCCTCTCACCACAAGAAACAAGATGCAGACAATGGCAAGTTTTGACGGAGATTTGAATCGTGCGATCACACAGTCAACAAACGTCTTAGTAATACATCTACAGTCTTATGTTTTTTTTTTGTGGTGTTTTCTATGTGGGGAAATTAGGCATTTTACTAACAGTGATCACTTCCCCAAATGCAAATGTTCCTCCAAAGTTCCCCTACAGAGCTATTTTGCGCTGGCGCAGTTGCTCCAACCTCGGCCTATCGCTGCCCAGGACGAGTGTGATTGGTTTAAAGAAATACAAAGAAGACAGCATTTCTGTCCTCTACAGCAGAGTGATAATGTGCGGCGTCAGACCGTTCTCCAGCACTGACGCAGCGCTGCGGAGACAGGTCTGGCTATGACACCTGAGAGACTGAGACCTGACAATGCTGGAAAAGTGACCAACAAAGTCAGACACAGAGAAATGAGACTGGAAAAAATGTCTTCACAAGGTCATCAGTCAAATCGAGATTGACAAAGTTATTGTCATATAACATGAACTCATCTTTACTTATCATTATATACCTGGTTAGCAGGCTGCTGTGGCAGCAGGGGCTCTGCCTGCTTGACTTTGGCTGGCTGGATCTCCTTGATGGCTTCCCCTGCCGACTCTCCGTTGGTGTGACCCGGGGAGTTCTTTTCAATCACAGGCATCCTCTCCAGCACCGCCGCTCTGTAGAGAGAGAGAGAGAACATCTCAGTCTTTTATTGGCCAGAAAAGAGGTTTGTTAACACCATCACTGGTATCAACAGCTGTCACCAAAACATGCAAGAGGTCAAAATGACTCTACTTCAGAAAAACAGACATTTAAAGAGCAGAAAAGTCGACATCTTCATCGAGCACTTGCGTACCTCATGTGGTCATATTTCTTGAAAAGAGCATTGTATTCAACTGCCCTCTGCTGGAGCTCCACATCTATACAGCTGCCGTAGATGCTGACAATGCTTCTGATCCGGCTGGAGAGGGTGGAGCGATGAAAAGGAGACTATTATGAAATTGCTGCAGCTATTGAGAAATCACATCTCTTTCCTAAACGACTCGCTGTAATTGGACATTAGATCTTTGAAACTCTTTCCTTGTCATCTGTCCTAAACTGAAACTCCAGGCACAACATTCATAACCTCTATCAGTTTCCATTAGCGACCAGGCCAGTGTTTTTCTCAACACATGACAAAGTAACCGTTCAGTCACGGCTTCAGACCAACAAACTTCCTGACTGAAGAACTGCACTGTGTGCTGTGAGTGACAGAAAGTGTTTCTTACTCCACATTATCGGTGATGCGTGTGCTCAGTTTCATGGTGGCGGTGAGAGCAAAGCCTCTGGTCGCTGGGGACGACATGTGGGACTGCAGAACTGTCTCCAAGGCGTCCAGGACGTCGTCCTCGGTGACCTGATCGAGAGACAGTACAGTGTCAATACAGGGTCTGAACGCCGTCATCACGATTTGATAAAACTGACACTAGGAATGTAACAAATAATTATAAACAAACGCTGTTTATCTGTCGAGATCAGTTTAGAGGAAACGGACACTAACATAATTCACCACTCGGTTTTAGGGTTACTAATTTAAGACAGGACTAGAAATGAATTAAGACTAATGGTATTGGAATCCATTCCCTGATATATGTTAATCCACTATTAAGCAACTGTCAGATGTTGTATTAACGGAGACCTGGCCTCGCCATCAGCATACGTGCAGTTTGGACTATCAACCTCAGGGAGCTTAGGCTGGACTTACTATACACTTCTTTTATGGTTTATATGTATTGGTATATTCATTTTGAGAAACCGTGTAGACGTTTTCCTCTCACACACATTCTAAACCTATCGAAGTGAAAGAGGGGCTGTTCAACATGACTAAATTAATAATCCTTTACATAATACCCTTCAGGCTTTTTTTTAAGCACTCACTGCCGGAGTTTATTTGAACTGCACTTCCCAGAAGTCACGTATTAATCAAACACTGCCACTGAAATGTGACTGTCTGTATGCAAATGTTGCTCCACCATGATGGATTATACTTTTGCTCACTACCCAGATCCTGTATTTCCAAACAGAGCAGTGGAAAGTAGCAGACACCACGTAATTTAGGACTGCAAAGCTATCTCAATTATACTCAATAATGCCATTCAGTGATAAAGAGCAATCATTTATATGAAGATGAAGATGTTAATCAGCATTTGTTGTGCTTGGTGTACCTGCACAGGCTCAGTCTCCTGGCACTCTCCTCTCAGCAGCAGGTCTCCATACTCTCCTATACACCAGCAGGCCACCTGCACCAGGGATTGCTGTGAAGAGCAAACACGACACACTGCTGTGTAAAGTCATTGTTGTACAGTCACAGTAAAATATAATCATGAAAGAACTGATCACGTTCTTGCTGGAGTGGCTAACTGCTCCGTATCAGTTGGACACATTAGAGCCTCGTTTCCCTGATTTCACAGGAAGTTAATGTGGCGAAAGATGGGAACTGCACCACACTGCAGATGAGTACATGGCTGCTCATCTGACTTGGTTCCAAAAATAAACCTGGTTGCATCAGCCAATTTCAAACTGAAAGCTTAGCTATTCTCACTGCCATAGAACCAGACCAGCTCTGTCTGGTTCCGCACTGACACTGACTTTGTTCTCAGATTAAAATATTTGAACGTCTCTTGAGTTTTTATCTGATATTTACACAATAAATCCTATTCATATGAATTTTCATGATACTAATACGTTTTATTTGGTTCACCTTATGAGAACAGCTTTGGGCTATTTACCTTTTACAGAGTCAATCTCTTTCGACTTAATCTGAAAAGACCAGGTATAATTAAACTACAGTCAGCAGTGTGTGAAATGATGAAATCCACAGCAGGCTAGTCTGTATGTATGTGTGTGTGTGTGTGTGTGTGTGTGTGTGTGTGTGTGTGTGTGTGTGTGTGTGTGTGTGTGTGTGTGTGTGTCCTGGACTTGCTGAGGTCTGCTCCTATGCTTCTTTTTATTGCATTTCTAGTCTTTGCGAACGGCTATAATTCTTGCATTTCAACATCAAATTTTTCTTGATGTCTTTTCTGAAGTATGAAGTTGGTGGGAGGAGCTGGGTGAAGTTTTTCCAACATACAGTTGTATTTCTTGTGGTTTTTTTGTTTTATTTTGCTTGCAAACGAAACTGCATAGTTGTATTTTCTTCGATTTTGTAATTTTTAAGCAGTTCCTCCTGCTTTAAGATGAGTTTATTCTACTTTAAGACACAAATAAACCTGACATAATCAACTATAGCGTTGTATTAATTTGTAATGAGATATAAAATAAAAAAACTAAGTTAGAATTACAAAACTTTTCTGCAGTTAACAGAAGAGTTAAAGTATTCTATGATGAATGTAGTCACATTTTATTAGAATCAGTATGGAGCATCCCACAGACAGAGTCTCACTGATCAGTATCACTGGATGAGCAAACCGACCAACAAGCCAATCCGCCTCAAACCGTAACAACAGGAAACGCCCGGAGACACACACCTGAGAGATGTCAGTGAGCAGAGCCCGGTAGAGCTTGTGGACGGTGTAACAGTGCAGCTCGGAGGTGTTGGTGATGAGCTGGATCAGGTTGGGCACAGTTTCATCTCTCACGTCGCCCCCTGCCTGGCAGAGCGGGAATCAGAGTCAAACACACGCACTAAACTCCATTAGCTAGACAGCTGGTGCAAGTATTTGGGTCGCCCTACATTTCCTCCCAGACACAATGACCTCACTCGGGGGACGTTTCCATCACAGTTCATATACATTATAACACATGTTTAGCCCAATGGATTAACCCTTAATTTATGCCACATCTCCATCATTACTCATTACTCTCCCTCTACTTTCCATCATCAAGCAAAGCAAAGCTAAGGATTAGTGTAAGCATTATCTTTTACAGCAATCATGTGGGTGTCATTTACTCTCTTACCTAGATGGAGGGCAAAATCAAAAGTAAGTTTTAACAGATTGCAAAATGGAAAGAATTAGAACAGGATAAAAAGCCTTTTCAGGCCACTGGGCTGCAATGTACGAAAGTTTGTACAGCAGCGGTACAAAGTTACTACGGCACACAGTTTCTAGTCAAATGCAATGTGCACAAATAACACATTTAGTATCGCAATACATATGCACCCTTTATGCCTGTGGCCCCCGGTGTCTACACTGAGGCATAACACATTAATGATGCGAGTGTGAAACCCCTGTCAGAGGCAGCAGTGAGTGGCTCAGTCAGTATTTACCGTGGTGAGGACATGCAGGATGGTGTCAATGTGCCAGCGCTGGGAGGGTGCATACCTGACAGAGACAGAGACACACACAGCTAACTCAGTGGTGCTTGAGGGTGACTCAGAAACACACACACAGTTGCATCTGCGTCTGCATCTTACCGCCGCTTGCACAGACACATAAAGAGAGAAGTGCATCAGGTGGTCGAGTGATACGCAGCAGAAACAGTGAGTGCCTAATAGACAGGGATATCACAAGCCCCTTTTATGCAGCCTGTTGAAGGCGGGAATGTTTCCGTTAATCCGCCTCGCTGTTCTGTATAAAAGATATGAACACAGAAACAGGGGGGGCATTGTTGTTCTGCCTTTAAGCTGGCAGCGTCACGTCACACGTCTGATCCCAGAACGCCAGCATACTACCTACAATCATGGTTCAGTGTACACATGCAAAGTTGGATAATGGAGGGTATTTTAAAACAGTAATGTAGCAGGAAAGGGGTGTTTAAAACTGTTTAAAAGGGGCGACTGAGGGTGGAGACGGACACAGAGTGAGACATCTAGCCACATACAGTGTATTTCAAGCACAGAGTTTTTCGTTGCAGCTTTTCACATTTATGTCCACATCTCTTCTGTTCTCCCAGCTCGGATCAACACCGTGCATTAGATGCTTTCACGTGCAGATGAATGTCTGCGCGCTTGCATGCATTAGATACAGTGTGTGTATATAACACAACCGTGTATATGTGCACATCTGAGTGTTAGCAGAGTTTCACTCACCTTTCAGCTGCGTTGAATATGCCGCTGGCAGCTTGAGCTCTGAGCTCCGGGGGGCAGGAGGAGAGGAAGAGGAGCAGCTCCTTCATCATGGAGCGGATGTTGGAGGCTGACACCAGAGCTAAGGAGAGATCCAGTGCACGACTGGAGGGATTGGAGGAGAGAGAAAATCACGGGATGTACAGTAACTTTCACTTTTAAATCAAGAGTTCATTCTGTGTTGATCCAGCTGAGGTCAGTATGTTCTCAACTGACATGAAGCCACATGTAGCTGCGTTGCTGCAGCTGAGTGGGAACAGAAGACAAATGTTCACATGTTGAGTCCCTCCGCATCCGTCGACATCCAGAATTTCATCTTAGTGCTTTTCGAACAGGAAGACGCTCCCATGTCATCACGTGTCACGTCTTTGCTCCTGTATGTTCAGTATGTTTACTTTGTTTATTTCTTTTAATGACTTAAGAATAACACAAAATTCTCATTTCTGATGCTGAGGTTGACAAAAAAAAGACTCATAAATAAATGTAAATTATGTGATTCTGTGTTGGTTATCCACACATGACAAACAGTGATTTACTTCACTGTTGACACAAATCTCTTCTGGTCAAACTAAAATCTAAATGATATTGTTTATGTGTTATTCCTCTGCTAAGTTTACTAGACTTCATTTCAGCATCAGGCGCCGTTTCTCCCTAGTATTAAATGTTGTTTATTGGGATTTACACGAGCCTTGTAATTTATTGTTTTCTATAGTAAATTTATGAAAGATCATGGAAATGTTCTGAAATGACTTTTAGAGAGGTTTCCTACATTTCCCAAATTTACGATTTATTTATTTTTCGTCTGATTGATTTCCACCTCGAAATGAACTGATCTTTGATCGGCTCAATTCATCAAAATCATGTTGGAAGACTCTCTCATGACAAACACTAGGGGTTGAGATCGGAAAAGCAGCTGTGGAAGAAGAGGTGGACGTTACCGTTTGACTGAAGCGTCCTGGTCCTTCAGGCAGTCCACTATGGTTCCCCTGTGGCGTTGCACTGCAATGTGATCCGTCCCAACAATCCGTTGAAGAGAGGTCATGGCGATATACCTGTGCACACATAAACAACAGCCAAAAATAATGATGTCAAGTTTTAAGCTTCATACTCCATTATGATGAAGTAAAGAGCGTGAGCTGCATTCACTGAGGTCTAAACCGAGGTCAGTTAGATCCTGAGTGTGTGATGTAGCTCAATATATTCAATAAATAAATCCTTTTTTAAAAAAAAAAAAATACTTCTAACCAGCTGCTAACAATGGAGATTAATTTACAGTGCTGTACAAACTAACTAACTTTCTCATTACTACCAGATTAATAATTTATGTTTCCACTTGAAATGCCTCATGACCTGATCAAGTATTTATGTGAGCACAGGAAAGATGTTATCAGGCAGTTCTCGCAGGAATGAGCCAGTCCTATTACTGTCAGAGAGATCCAGATGCCCGCAGGTAGAAACCTGTCCTGCCACACAGCCCCTATGGAGAAAAAACCTAAAAAACAGTAACATAACAAAACCCCAAGCAGCCTCTAACAGGCTTCCTTGCTACCTGGCGGCCCAAAATTGAGAGATCAGCATAAACAGACAGACAGTGGCCTTCTGGTGTTGCTCTAGAGGAATGGCTCCAGGGGAAAGTGATTAGTGAGCTCAGACTGATAACAGCGGGTTGGAAGGGTTTTTGTCTCTGCCTGCAGTGACTTTGCTGTTTGGCCTTGTGAAAGAGAAAACGAAAATGACCTTAAAAGATAAGAGAGGAAGGAGGGAAGGATTGGGGAAGAGAAACAGGAATGTGTGTAGGGAGGAATGAAAGGAAACAGAGCTGACCGAATGTTCCTGTCGTTGTTCAGGAGAAATCTTCCCAGGATGTTCACAGCCAGGACCTGTGGCACAGGCGAGAAGAAGCATGTGTGCATTTGTTAATTAGCTCACACTCTATCCCCTATGTATTAATGTGGTTAAACACAGTGAGAGGGGCTGCTTGTCTCTCACCCTGAGGCCGCTCTCTGACTTGATGTCTAGCACAGTGAGAACAGTCTCATACAGCACAGCGTTGCCCACAGTCTTAGTGCTGTCAGTGTTGGTCGCCACCTGTACAGCAAGTCACACACACACACACACACACACACACACACACATCAACTTCTTCATTGGAAAATTAAAAAAAAGAAGACGTCACAGTATAAAACTTTGACTATATAATAAAAATAAAATAACGAGGAGTAAAAATGTTCATGTAATGTTGCAGAGCGTACATTAAAAAAAAAAAAAGGCCAGCGGCACATCTGTGAATAAGTAACGGACCTGAGCCAGTAAGTCGTTCATGGCGTCGCTGGCTGCTTCATTGTTGCGACCAAGGATCCTCAGCAACCTCAAGATGCGAACCTGAGGATCATCAAATACAGGAGGACAGACGAGATGAGAGACGTGAAACAAAAGGAAGAAAAACAGACTTCTCATTTACGACAGAATCTGAGCTGTGAATAATTAAAGTAAATCAAATGTAGCGGACTCGTGCTTTAAAAAAAAATCTCTCAAGAGCTCAAAAGTTCAAGGTTCATATTCAGATTCAGGGAAATGGAGAACAATGTTTCTCCAGTGTTATTAAAGTGTTAGTGTACAGTCCAAGTAATGATTTGGAAATTTACTGCACAGCCAATAAGTCTTTCATTGAACTAAATCATTGACAAAAGTAAATAGGAAATAAATAAATAATATGTGAGTAAATAAAGCAAAAGAGAGATATAATGCTGTATAAGAAGTGAGTGACGGTGGCTGACCTGCAGGAAGGGATCACTGATTCCTGCCACATCGTGCTCTGGAGAATAACCGGAGATGACCAGACTTTTCATGATCTGAACCAGATCTGGCACCGTCTGAGATACACACAGCACAAGCACATTACAACACAGCGCACGTGTAGAGACACTGAACTCAACACATCAGGGTGTCTGTGTGTGAGTGTCGCTCGTACCTTCCTGAATCGCTCAAGTGCCTCTGGATTGCGCTCACACAGCTCAGTGATGAGTACCACAGCGCCATGTAACACACCTGGATACAAAAGGGGGAAAAGACACGGAGAATAGTTGGAAACAGTACATGTGTGAGAAGATTACTGATATGTGTCATTAAGATCAACTGACCGTGGTTCTTCTCAGAGAGGAGGGACCGAGCAGCTGGCGCGAAAAGCTCCCCCAGATCTTGGACTTTTCTCACAATGTGAACAGCACATAGAGCAGCCTGAAAGAACAGTGGAGCAAGTCATCAGCACCATTACATCATTACAACGACTCTGAGCAGACGACAGAGGGATGTTGTTAGTTTTACTGCTGACAAAGGATTTGAAATCTATGTACGACAGCATTTACTACTGCAGTGCTGAGATGGTTGGATCTAACTGTACGACCCCGGACTCTGGCAACGAGTAGGACATAATAAATCATATTACCTTTTAAATCAACAGTTGAAAACATCTGATAATCTTAATTTCTGTTTTTTATTACAAGAGATTAAAACTTTTCATTGAGATCAAGAATTAATAACAAATATCCCTGTCGAGGTCCCCACCTTCTTCTTAATATAGGAGTTGGAGGCTCGGAGCAGCCTGTCGATCTCTGGTGCCAGATCTCTGCACATCTCAGCTGAGCCCATACAGGCCAGTGTGCACAGAGCCAGAGACTGTACGTACTGGTTACTGTGAGACAGGTCACTGAAAAACACACACAGAGAAAAAGATAAAGACGACGGTGTAGATCCATGTGTGTTGACAAGTCTGACATGTTCAGCATTTTATAGAAATCATCCAATACCCTCTGTTTGGTCTACTATGTGAGACGCTTTGATTCTCTTTCCTGTTTCCCCACTTTGTGTAATGGGATTACAGTATTAGCTTGAAAAATTATCATTATCAATTATGACAATTTGGTAATGTGTAACACACAGTGGCAGACAGCCTGTCCAGAGCATAGGGACACTGCACCATTTGACCAGTGATAATATAACAAGCAGGAGTAAGTTGACGGACCTCTTGCATCACCTCACCTGTGTGTTACGGCTACCTCACTGAACTGCTGCAGCTTGCAGTGTGTGTGTGTGTGTGTGTGTGTGTGTGTGTGTGTGTGTGTGTGTGTGTGTGTGTGTCTACTGTTACTGCCAGCCCTATCTTTGAGTATGGTTTCAATAATAGCCATCAATAATTATAATCATGCACTGTAGATGAGAGGTCGGAAAAGTGAGGAGTTGTGTCCAGAAAGCAGTCACATGAAAGAGAGAGAGAGTGATAGAGAGAGAGAGAGAAAGAGCACTGGAAAACTACTGCCCATAATATAATTATAGCCTTTCTGCTATCACAATATATTACACATGTAGCCTCCACTTTCTCCTGTAATAACATACAATGGCTAAAATGGTTTAAGATATTTATAATTGAACATATTTTTTTTCATATTTGTTGTTGAGTCACAAATGTTTGTATTTTGTAATCTGGATAACTTTCCTCTCAGATAAACACTGTGGCCAAATGTATAGCTAGTCTGGTACCCGTTAGCATCTACATCATCTACCGTCTAATTCCCAGCCTGAATAACTGTTTCTTAATAAATATATATAAATGGTTTATAATATGCGACTATACAATATAACATAGTTGTATGAAGCAGCAAGGACATTTTTAAAAGTTAATTCATGTATTTATCAATAATTGTAACTCCTTATATGAAGCATCCATAACTGCTGTATATATATAAAGTGCTTGATAACATAAATGTAACATTGCTGTATTCATATGCAATAATATAATTAACAGTTTAAACCTGCTATGTATGCCTCATTATAATTGTTAACAAATATGTTAATAAACACACATTTTGTATTTGATTCCAACTCTATTATAATGCATTATAAGCCATTTATTAGGTGTTCATTAGTCTGACTCACCAGATGTGGGCTGCAGATATGAGCCTGCCATTGGGAGTCTATTCCAGGCTTGGATCGTGCAATAACACAGTCGAAATGTGTCCTTGCTGTTTACTGAGGAGTTTTCTTTGCAGGGAATCAGCCATATTAAATACAGTGCTCAGACATGTTCCCCCAAAACAAGCTCCCCTCCAACACTATTTTTGCAGGGGCACTGTCGCTGATTGGGTTAAAGAAATGCAAATAAGCCAGTGTTTTCCCTTATAGCAGAATGATAATGGATGCAGCCAGACTATTCTCCAGCGCTGACACAGCACTATGGAGACAGGTCTGGCTTTGTGGGACTAAGTGTTCATTAAAAGAGTCTACCAACTTTGCATTACACCGCTATAACATTGTCGGACTCATGATGGGCAGTTTAAAAAATAAAAACCTGGTGCCTATATTACTGTCTGTGTGTATTATGTTTGTAGTGTCTAATGTGGCCTCAAGCTGTGATGAGCAGCTGGCTGCAGAGGTCCATACAAAACTCACTTTTTTCATTTTCATATTTGTAGACTTCAGCCACAACTGATGCTGCCTCGAGTGAAATCATTTATCAGACTGTGCACCGCTCACTCTTTTCACATGTGCAGCAGATCTCCCCAAGCTCTATAAACAGACTCTGATGTGTAAAATCCATGGAGTGAGCCTTTCATTGTATACAAATACCAAATACAGGGGTAAAGATAAAGTGTTCCTGAGGATTTTACTTAGTAATACTATTTCTGTTTTATTAAGACTTCAGATTGTTTAGTCTTGGGCTGTTCTTACTTCTTGATGGAGTTGGTGATGAGCAGACTGGCGTCCTGCTTTTCATCCAGCAGCATCATGGCTCCCAGATATCCCACACGCTTCTCGCTGTAACGAGGGCTGGCTATCATCCGAACACATTCCATCTAGTAGGAAAAGCAACATGTCCTTTAAATGTGAAGTTACTTCAAACACTAACAGTACTGACGGGCTTAGGGAATGCTTTGCTGGAGGTCAGGCTCAACTCCAGAGCTCCAGAGCCGCAGCCCTGGAGCTGGGACGGATTCAGTGGCCCAGTTCCAATGCCCACCCTTGTGGACTAACAAACTTTGACACAGACTCCTAAAGCTGAAGACTTTGCTTGAGGGAGTTAACCACAATTCACAGTGTTCTGACGACTGAGGAAGTCTGAGACAGAACGTACATGTTTACATGCACAGACAGGCAACATTACCAGCATCATTATAGCTAATTATATTTAGCATGTGAATACACAATGTGCTGTCTCATTTATCTACGTATTTGAAGCTCTGTCATGTACCCACACATTTTTACAGAGCACAGAGATGATGTATGCGAAGGATCAGTGCTCAACACATACTGGCTGGACATTGGGACTGAGCCAGTATATTGTCATCCAGAACAATTCAGTGATGAATTGAAACCAGTCCCCTCAGTTGCCATAATGGTTTCTCACCATGCTAACCCCATTAACCGAAGCAAACCCATGACAGGCATTAGCAAAATCCCCTCACCTGACCAAAATGAGCTGGGTAGCCCAACATGTGCACGTAGAGTAGCTTGGCCAGGTTGTGTGATCTCGCCCCATTGTCGACTTGTCTGAATTGTGCCCGGATGGCTGCACACTCCCTCTGGATGACGCCCCGCTCCTCACACTGCGTCCTGGCTGATCTGATGGCCCGGATCATCTCCTGCAGGGGTACTGATGGAGACATGGCTGTGTGTGTGTGTGTGTGTGTGTGTGTGTGTGTGTGTGTGTGTGTGTGTGTATATGGGTGAGTGGATGGGTGTATGGGAGGGTGTGGGAGTGTGTGTGCGTGTGTGTTGATATGCGTGTATGTGGTGTGGTGTTAAGGAAATGTTAAAATGTAACTATTACTGAATATCAACACATAAAAGAGAAAAATACTCTACTGTATAGAGTGGTACTGTATTAGCATTTCAGCCTGTGGGTGTGTGTAAGGTAAAGACAAAGCTGTTATTATAATGTAAGAAGAGCTATACTGTCACTAAGACACACAACCTAAGTGGAGTTTAACAGTTAAAAGAACCTAAACTACCCAAGAAGTCTGGTTTAACAATGGCTGCTCATTCTGGAGACAGATTGTTTAGATTTAATCACACCTAGAGCTGGCTTAATAGAAAGTTACTGCCAATTATCTACATGTAAATTACTCAGTGACGTAGTAAAAATAGATTTCAATTGACGAGATAAGGAACAAGTTAGCAAGGCACTCCCACAGTCGAAGATGCAGGTCAGTGAAATGAGCCAGAGGCTAGCCAACTGACCAAACCGAGCTAACCTTGCAGATGCTGTCAAGCCTGCTCTGAGAGACTGTCGAGCTAAAGAGCTAGCTAAGTTAGCATGACAGTCGGGTTGTGTGACTGGTTTAATGTCCAAAATAACAACGTACCTCTACACTGTACAGAGAGTCGCCAGTATTTAAAAAGTAGACCGGTTCAACCGAACCCCCTCTAACACACGGCAGCAGTCAGTTGGCTGGAAACCCCAATACTGTGGTAACCGTCCATGTAGTGTCAACACTTCCGAAATAACCACACGACTTCCTGTCAATACTTTCAAAATAAAAACCAGTTACGCTAAATATCGCATTTCGAAAATTTTATGAAATATTTATGACTCTTTGTTAAAGGAAAGTGGCTGGAGAGATCATTATACACGATTTTAATGTAGTAGCCTACTCTCATACTCTCAGGATGATATTCTGTGTTATTTAAGTTAGGGTATTCATGGGTATTGTAGCGTATATCATCATTCTAAATTCCCCCAGCAGAACACCTCTCACCCAAGAAATGTTTGGTTAAATAAATCAAATATATATTGTTTTCATAGTTTTTAATAAATAAATTTAATTGTTCAATTATATTTCTGTAATATGCATATTCCTGCATTAATTATTCGGAGCAGACATTTTGTCATAACAGGAAGAGCTCAGGTATTACTAATGCTTTACTTATTTGTTGAACTGAATTTTTTTTAATATTAAAACATTTAACAACCATCCCATAGATCAGCCCCAAATAGCCCACCATGTACTTTACTGTTTGTGTTTCTGTAGAATCATCATAAGGTGATTAAAGCCCCCAAATTTAAAAAAAACACCAAAGGCATGACCTCAGTGTCTTCAGTGGTTGTTATAACCCTATTAATGTCAATAATTACACCTCTGGATTTGTGACAAAATGTTTATTGTGGAAAGGACCTATTACTCCAGTAAATTAGAAGATCAGACAAGACCCCAAAACACCAGATAGTCAAAAGAATTAAGTTTTCAAAGTATACCACTGCCCCAGACCCTCGAGGGTCCAGGCCCCAGGGTTTACTGTGTGGCATTGATTTGCAGTAATAGAATTAATTGCTTTGAAATTTTTGGGGAATATGCATTACTGATTGTTTGCAGGACTTCTAGCCAAGATGAAAATAATCTCTCACGCATAGGCTTCTATGTAGACTGTACTTGATGGAGGTTTATATGTATATAAATATATACAATTAAATATGACCTAAACTGCATTAATTACCACATTTAAATGGATTACAGCGTCACTGACCTTTATTTTGAAGAAAAATTTCATTTTGTTTCCAGTCTTATTCTTGGTGGTGTGACACCTTGACCCACCTAGACTTGTCATTCCTTCCCTTTACTTCCGCAATTTGATCACTCATTGTGCGTGGGCTCCACCCCTTCTATGTCAGGTATTCCAGCAGGTGGATGAAACATTGATGAGGTGAGGAAGGCAGCACAATACCAATGCCACAGCAGTACAATCCAACAAAATTTGAGACTTTATGAAGACAACTATGCACCCCATTATCTGAGAGGTTTCAAACGTGTCCAAGACAAAATCCAGGTGATAAAAATACCAGAGAAAGTCACATGATAAATATGTATTGCTGATCTATTGTGGAGACTTTCCAGGGATATTTATTTATTTCTATCACGAGCTTTGTGTTCATGTCAAGGAATTGCAATGACAGAAAGTGGAGGAAAATGAAAACATGGCAGTTTTTTCAGTGTGACTTCTCTTCATGCATGTGGATTGTTTTTTATATTTAAGAAGAGCTGCAGTGCTTTGGTGCCAAGAGCTTATTTTCAAGGAAAACCTGTTTCACAAGACTGAATGTACAATAATCCCCAGGTAAACAACTTCCCATGGGGATGATCAGAAGCAGAGATTTAAATGCAAGGCTGTATTTTAAAGGGAACATTTTGAATGTTGTGAGTCCAGATGTTATGAGTCCAATGAGAATAAAAGCCATTAAAGCATCTGGAAAATTGAAGTTTAGTGTTGCTGTAATGAGCTGAGCATAAACAATACATAGAGTTTGCAGTATAAAGACAACGTTGATTATGATGGGCTTGCACATAAAAATATTTTTCCACAAAATCCACAATACACAGTCAAAGACAAAAAAAGGGAGATGGTTTAAAGACTGAGGTGAAAACAAAAAAATGGCAGTGATTCATCACTTCTGTTGAGTGCAAGTGATATTTCATCTCAAACACTCATACGCTGAAACAAGTGTGTCCAGAATTAAGGCCAGTGAAAAACAGAGCAACGCAGTCCAGTACTGTAGACCATTTTAGAGTATTAAGATTTTCATGAAGTGAATAAGTATGCTCATCTTTCTGGGACTCTTCCCCATGCTTCTTTTTTTTATCCTTGATCCACATCCATGGAATCGTCGGTGCACATGTTCAGCAGCCATTTGAGGGCTTTATCAATTTTCCCCGCCTCCCTCGTCTTTCTTTTGCGGACTGTTGGCCTCTGGGTTCTCTGTAATGTCTGGGTAGACCACTGAACAGAGCTTTTGGCACAGATGAGTCATTTTACCTGGATACAGTTGGGGATGGGAGAGACCAGGGAAATCATTTTTATATTAGAAGGGAATGGTTCTTTATCAAACTTGGTTGACATTTCATAAAAAAAAAATCTAGTTTACTATGTAGTGGTGCAGTCACACAGAGTATGAGTCTTTAGTCTGAACCATAATGGAAAAATCCATTCAGCTGAATTGTTACAGTTAATGATTTAAAATGGCCAATTATAAGTGAAACAGAGTCACATATAGTGCAAACAAATGAGGCAAAACTGAACATCTGTGTTCGGGAACCTCTTTACCCCTGCGTTTAATAAAACACTGCAGTTCACTTGAATATGTGCAGAAACTCACAGCACACCTCAGCGTGCAAACATTATTTTCAGCTGCTCACACTGAACAGACGGAGGTCTAGAAATTTAATGAAACACACATTAACTGTGTGAATGCACCTTTAAAACAGAACTAATGTACTGTAGTCATTCCATAACAATGCCACCATGATGTTGCCTTACCAATAGCGATATCAAAACACGGTGGCTTGTTTTCCCAGTAGACTCCCAGGAAGTATGCAGGGACACCGGTCATCATGATGGCCAGTCCAATACCACAAACCAAAGGCTCAGAGTAGAGAGAGAAGACCAGCAGGAAGGCCCAGAAGAGCAGGTAGATCACTGGCCATATGAGGCTCACCTGCAGGATGAGGGACAGTGTTCTCAAATCTCAGATATCCATTCACATCTACATGCCAGCTTAAAATGCAGTTAAATGAAAAAGACGAAAAGAAAAACAATCAGAAAACAAAAATAAAACAGTTTACCTTAACATCAAATTTTAATTAAAACTTGAAACATAAAATTCACATTCTGTGTGAATACACCTGTAGAAACCCACAGGCTCCACATTTAACTCTGAAATGATATTATTAAACGGTGGAAGGGAGAAATTTCATTTTGGACCTCTTTTCTATAATATTTAATACACCCAATGTGCACTTTTTATTTATTTTTATTTCAATGTTTTTAGGAACAGCATTCTAATACTGGGTAGGACCTCCTGAAAGGTTTGAGATGACTATTGTTTGGTGACATGGTGCATTATCATGCTGGAAGATAATCTGTGGCCATAAAGGGAGGAACATGGTCAGCACCAATACTCAGATAGGCTGTGGCATTCAAACAACGTTTGATTGGTATTAAGGGGCTAAAATGTGCCAAGAAAACATTACCCACACATTTACACCACCAGCAGCCTAGACTGCTGACACAAGGCAGGTTGGGTCCATTGATTCTGACTCTACCGTCTGCATGTCTCAGCAGAAATCAAGATTGATCAGACCAGGCCACATTTTTCAGTCTTCATCTGTCCAGGTTTGACGAGTCTGTGCCTACTGAAGCATCAGATTTCTGTTCTTGAGTGGAACTTGACATGATCTCCTGCTTCTCTCTTGTACATTCTGAGATGCTTTCCGCTCAACACAGTTGTAAAAGTGGTTATCTGAGTCTGAGTTACCGTAGCTGTTCTGTCTGCTCCAATCAGTCTTCTCCTCTGACTTCTCTCATCAACAAGGTGTTTCTGTCCACAGATCTGCTGCTCACTGGAGTAAAACTCCAGGGACTGTGAGACATAACACCCAAACCACCGTCTGGCAACAAGAATCATGCCACAGTCCAGAGTCCCTGAGATCATATTTTTCCCCCCATTCTGATGTTTGATGTGAACATTAACTGAAGCTGCTGATCTGTATTTGCATTATTTTATGCAGTGCACTGCTGCCACGTGATTGGCTGATTGGATATTTGCATGAATGTACAGGTGTTCCTAATAAAGTGCTCAGTGAGTGTAGTGAATAGTCCTCATGAAAGACTTACAACTTCCATCAAATGTCAAAACCCAAGTAGCTCCATCTGTGTCTTTACCTTGATAGGTCGATACATGTCAGGCTGTTTGATGCGCAGTACAATCTGCCCAGCGACAGTGACGCCATAGAAGAGGTAGTTGATGAAACCCACATAGTTTATGAGGGTGTAAATGTCACTGGTGCACAACATCAGCAGAGTGGAGATCAACTGAATGTGGCGAGAAGGGGTAAAAGTTACATTTTGCACATGGGGAGGACAGAGGGCAAAGGACACAAAAAGGACAGACAGTAAATGTTCAGTTTCGTGTTGAGCGGGACAGGACTCACAGTGAACAGTAAGGCTGGAATAGGAGTGCAGCGCGTGACATGAATCATGGCCAGCAGACGTGGGAGGTGGCCTTCCCTTGCTCCGGCAAAAAACAGTCTGTGAGACAGAACCAAGGACAGTTAAGTACTGAGAGCAGAGCCAGATGGTGCTCGCTCACCGTGTGCACCCACCAGCTGAGGGAACAGCTCAGGAAACACAGTTCAGGTGATCATGGAAACACCAGTGTATAAATGAACAGCAGAGGTGAAACTGCAGGGTGAAAAATGGACCAAACCAGGAGTAAAATGAGCTCAGTACTTTGAGATTTGCTATCACTCAAGTGGTAATAGAGACAAACAATTTCCCAATCAGGCACCTTCCCTACAGTCTGAAATCCAGCTTGCAGCCCCAGATATGAGTGTTTACACTGCGGAAGCATTTTATTCCTGTTTAGCTCTGCGTTTTCACCCTGGTTATCCCGTTTCTCTGTGTGCATCTAAAAATCAGCATTGGAATGAGACTAATAAAAGAAACCACAGCAGGCACAGAAGCTGCAACAGGGAGACAGATTGGACAGAGGGGGGAGGGGGAGGACAAACTGACCGCGACGACGTGAAGAGGGAGCCATTGACTCCCCCGAAGGTGGAGAGCGCCACAGATATGGGCATGATCCATGACATTACTCCTAGCAATTTCTCTCCAAATGTCTGGGAGAAATATTAGGAGTAGAGAGAGAGAGAGGAGGAGGAGGAGGATAAACAGGTACACAGTTAAAAACACATTCGATAACGGCGACTAATCAAACATTTCAAAACTGAATGCAAAAGGACGCCAGGCTAAGCGTTACAGGCATTATGCTACAACGATGAGCATGCGTCACATCAGTGTGGTCGCTCTAAATCACTGCCGGGCAACGCAGCTACGTCATTTCAAGGCGATTACAAAACTCAGACCGTTTCTAACTACATGCATTCTCTACATGCGTAAACACACACTCAATCATATTTGAGTGACTGTGGGTCGGTTTTCTCACCACTGCTACAGCATTAGACGCCAGCAGTTCCTGGGGGCTCATGGCTGTGACGTAGGCCACGTTGGCAAACACGTAAACAAAGGTGACCACAGGGATGGAGATGAAGATTGCAAGGGGTAGATTCCTGTGGATAAAAGACAAGATTGCAATTCACAGTATATTAACCTCTTCTGTGACTGAAGTTTGAGGTTTCCATAGACAAATGTTACCAACCTTTGCTTCAACATGAGAAACATTTGGATACATAATTGGAAGTAGCTAAAGCCTGTAAATGTACATGATGGATTTTTGATGTGGTCTGAGAAGCTCGTTTGTTTTACATAAACATTTTCTTTACATACTTCTGAGAGAAATACTGAAATGCATAACATTTCTAAATGGTTTAACTTGAACAAATGTTAAATTTTAATACATCTAACTTTGTCATATTTACTGCGAAAAGGTACAATCAATCCAGATCTGACCCATAGCTTACATAATACAGAACTTTTTGGGCTTCCACTTGTTACAACTTGGATCTTTTCTTTACAAAGATTTAACAAATTTACATTTATTAGTCTGATCCAATACTCAACCACACTCTTCTGTGATTTAGATACTGTATTTCCAATATAAATATATATTCAACATGTATTTGTATCTGTGTGTGTGTGTGTGTGTGTGTGTGTGTGTGTGTGTGTGTGTGTGTGTGTGTGTGTGTGTGTCTTTGATGTATTGAGTACCTATAACAATTAATGGATGTTTTTTCAGACAGACAGTAATCTGCCCATATAAAGTAACAGCAGAGGTGTGAATCATTTGCATCTTCCAATATTTAGAACAACTCTCAGATACAGGGAATCTCAGCTATGGAATAAACATCTTCATAACGCGACACAATCTTCCTCTCTCACAAAAGTTAACTCAGGCTTCTCTCTCCTCGCATCTTTTTTTTAGCAACATTGCCTGTGAGCTGCAAATCTACATTTGTAGATGTTTTCTTCTATTGTCTGCACATTATTGGTTCTTTTTTTCCTTGTTTTCTTCTGTATGTGGTGCTAATATCTGAAACACTTATTACCCCCTCCTGCTTCTTCATTGAGATGTCTTCACGGGCCCATTTGAGTTTTAATCTTAACTAAATCCTTTTTTCATCCCTTAATATATTATGTTATTTTTGTGCAGATTAAATCAAATTGTTATAACAAGTCTTTGTAAAATGTGGCTGATCTGCAACGGTTAAAAAGCAGGATTCAAAAAAGGTTACCTGTATGGGTCTACTAACTCCTCTGTGACGTAGTTGAGGAAGTTCCAGCCTCCATATGCAAAAGAGCCTTGCAGAAAGGACAGAGCTATAAGACCAACATCATAGTCACGGAAGGTCTCAAAGGCATGTACTGGCTCCAACCAGTAATAGTGACCTGTGAACCAAAAAACAGATATCAGATTTCACTGAAAACAAAATAAACTTGATGTGAACTGCTTTTCACTACCACAGTCTGAGCAGCAGAGGGCGCCAAACACTACATACAATGTTCTGATAAGTTGTGAAAAGGTCTTTCAGTTTATTATTCCATGTTTCTTGCCACCTTTTTTTTTTTTTTTTTTATAAATCATACAGTATCTACACTATGAATTTTTCTGGTTATTAAAGACTTGCATAAAGATGTGTGATGTTTTAGCTCATTAAATATTCTCTGGTTTTCTCATAAATGGAAAGCAATAATCAATACCTGATCTGGACAAAGTCAAAACTCTGGCCAAAAGAGAAATATATTAATTAGCCTGCACCTCCAGCTTCCATCTCAGACAGAGTGGGATATGAGGCAGCTAAGTCACATGTATGAGTTTGTCGCTGGGCCTGGAAGTGTGTGTGTCCATGCGTGTGTGTGTTTGGATTATGAGTGGGATGAAAAGCAGTGTAATCTCTCTTTCCCGTCAGGATCACAAATCCTGTGAGAGGCACAAGGGGACTATTGCTGTCATGGTAACCGAAGCATGGCCACTTCAAAAACGTTTTTCCCTATTTTAGCATCAAGACAGTGATTTGTGAATTGGGGGTCAGGACAAAAGGACGAGGGATGAAATGGATTAACAAAAAATAAGAGAAAAAACTACATATTTATTATGAAACTCTGGATAACTTCACCTATTCAGACCTCCAAATAATAATCAAATGAAGCACTCAGAAGGGAATATCATTCCTCAGCTGAACTTTTCACACACAAGAGACATCGCAGATACAAATAAAGTTATTATATGCAGCCGCAGTTGATAGTGCTTTACTTTAAAAAAGCTATAAAGCCAAAAAGTTTGGGAAACACTGCCCCACCCCACCCCTCGCAAATATTACCTTTGCAAATTTGGACGACACCCATGATTATGATTAGGCCCAGGGCCAAAAGCTTTCCAGTGGTGAAGACATCTTGGACACACGTGGCCCAGCGCACACTGTAGCAGTTCACCCATGTCAACAACACTGAGGACAGCAAGACATAATATCACAGTAGGTTAAGATGTTTCATCGACTGGCAGTTCAAGCTGCAAGAGATAATACTCCTATATAACAAAGACGTGACCTTTTGTGAAAGTAACTCCAACAAAAAAGGTCAAGTTAGAGTATTGAGAAACATTCCTCAAAACATGAAACAAGACAAAATTTCCTGAGCCAGACAGAAACATTTTATACTTTATGCAAGACTGCAGGCCTTTGGCTGAAGCAGCACACAAAAACAAAGAGAAGGAAAATGAGCTGCAAAATTTACTTTATAAACAGGTTAATGTACAAGTAAAAAATTCTATTTTTCTTCTCTTAAAATATCAAATTAATGCAGAAGTAACATTGGTTATTGTAGCTGAATAGCATATCTAAAGGCAAAACTGGGTCATGTAAAAAGATAGGATCTAATTTTTAGTCATAATCAGATGAAAATGTATGTGCTAATTTAGATCACACTCATGTGGAAATCAGTCTTTCCCTTGGTGTTAAATATTTGTTTTGCCTTCGCAAATATTTAACATGCCTTACATCGTCTTTACATTTTAATTTTAGAATATTTTATTTTATTTATTTATTTCATTATAATTAAATTAATCAGCTTATTGGCAAAGCATTTTTAAGCCTTTGAGAATGAATCATCTTCAGGACCAGCAGAAGTGAGCTACAGAAATGTAACAGGGAACAGAAAAGCTCGTCTTCTGGTTGAAATAAGGGGACACGACAAACCAAAGTCCAGATTATTGATTGTATAAATATAATTTTTTATGAAAGATTTTAACATTTGTCACTTTGGATTAGGTGCCAACCTTCTCATAGCAAAGTGGCAACAATGCCAGCATTTGTACTGCATTTGTGTGAAACTCACGTGAAGCTAGTCTAGCTTGGCCTGTGTGATTCTCTAGATTCACCCCAATCACCAAAATAAAGGCCAGATTTCAGGTAAATATGTGAGAATTGCTTCAGAATATTGCAAAAGCATTTTTTACGTTCAGTCTCAGGGTTGACGTTTTGAGTTTCTGCCTTGCCTTTACATTGTACTTCTGTCAATGTGAATCTGCTTGCTCATGTACATATTACAGAGCCCTCTAGCAATTCATTATTGAACTTCCATGACATTCGAGAGCAATGATTCAGCAGTTGTTACTTAGTCTTTACTATGACTACAGCTCCTACACTGCCCATAAGGCAAATCAACAGCACATTTAGTTAGACCTTCACTGCCTGATACATTTGTTTCAAACTCCTTTATTTCAAACAGTTTTTCACACAGACTTTCTGTTCAAAATCTGTATCAAACTTGTCGCCAAGCTTAAGACAAATTATTTTTTTTGACAAAAGACTTGACAAATCTCCTCCACAGAAAGCCAAGTAGTTTTCGCACAGCTTCACCAACAATTAAATCTTCTAAGCTCTGTCTTTCATAAACAAATGGTGTAAAAAAGGTACAACAGGAGACTCTTTAGTAAATAAGCCTTAAATTCGTCATCCTGGACAATATCCCTCAATGAGGGCTTCATCACGTTCCTTCATGATCTGTATCTGTTAATGCACTGAACTCAATCAATAAAGATTCAATCTTCAGTTTTATTTTATCACTCACAAAGACAGACGGCAGCCAGCAGGCGAAGCCCGGTCTCCGGGGGGAGGCAGGAGGGGAAGAGAGGCTGCAGGACGTAGTTAGAGAAGGTGAGAGCAATCACAGCCTGGTTAGTGGGGTAGATGACCAACACTGCAATCCACAGACGCAGAAACCTGAGAGACGACACAGGGAGTCCGGGTTAATGAGACATGGCAACACATTTCTGTCACACACCAGCAAGTGCATACAACTGCACGCGCACGCACACACACACACACACACCATAGTGAGTGAGAATACCAGCCCTCGTTATAGAAAAATGTAGTGCAAAACAAAGAAAATTAAGCATATTAACTAAAGTACATTATAATAATGCACTGGAGCATTGTTGTTGAAGATGAGAGAAATGAGTGGAACTGGGTCAATGACATTCTGGGAAGCTGGGAATGCAAACTAGACTACATGAGGCTTTAATTACATGGTGAACTGTAAAATTCCCATTAATTACAAAAAGCTTGCTACAACAGTTTGTCAGTTTTTTAATTTAATTTTAATCTTACAGTGTTTTATACTGTGTTCTGTTTTAATTGCAAAGCACTTTGATCCTGTGTTTTGAAAAATATGATATAAATACTACTTATAATTTATTATTTTAATACTACATGAATTATAATGGATTGGAATACAACCTTTTAATACAGACTCTCATGTAACTGCAAATATTTGTTATAGCCCCTCTGTATATAATATGATTTTAGCATCTTTCAAAAGGAAAGAAAAAAAATCCTAATAAAACAGCATTTCTTCTCACCCAGCCAGTCCTCCAAAGATGTCTTTGACATAGGAGTAGTCTCCCCCTGACTTGGGGATGGTCACGCCTAATTCTGCATAGCAGAGAGCCCCAATAGCTGTGATAACTCCAGTGGCAACCCACACAATGATGGCCACGCCCACTGAGCTGGCATTCTCCAGGACCCCCTTAGGACTCACAAAAATCCCCGATCCAATGATGTTGCCTTAGTGAGTGAAACAGAGACAGAAACAAATTAAGAGCAGATCTTAGACGCTCTGGAGACTGCAGTCAAAGTTATAATTTAAAGTGGCAATAGTTTTTTGCTTTAACTCATCATTATGAAGTTAATGTTGATTTCAGTCTCAATTTACGGCACAAACTAAGCGTGGGGGTTGAGGTTAAGGAAATGGCAGACAGTGGAACAACCAAAGTAACTGTGGAAACTCTACCCAACAAAAGAAGAAGAGCCCTGTTATCAGAGGAGGCAAAGAGGTTGATGACGGATAGTGATAGAAACCATGATTTATGTCTGTGTGATAAACTAAACAAAGAACACCTTTTCTGGTGCCCTTTCTAAAACGGGCAGTGGTGAAACTTACTATATTCTGTTATATACTTATATAAAACACAAGGGAGGAAACTTGAAAAGTTGCCTATTGCCACTTTAAAGTTACACAACAAACAATGTGAATTCAATAAAATACACCACCCACAATATTACAGATATACAGAAGATTGGTATTTTGTTGATGATACACTGATCAACAGTGGGAGAAAAAGAATCATGAGACTACTGAAGCAGAATCCAGACTGTAAAGGAAAAGCTACAATTTCCTGTCACATGATTCTCCATTTCCTTTGGTGCTCATGTTTTACATATGATCACATTTTTCCAATACAGAATGAATTTGCTCATTATAGCCCTGGCCCACAGTATATTTTCACTCATTGATCTTCAACTGGGTTTTCTGTAAATATCCATACTTAGGCTTACACCATTTAGCCTTTGTGGGTCCTCTGTGGGAGCTACGGTCTCATATTCTTCAGTAAAACCAGAAACCAAAATAAAACAGAGTCTGCACTTGGACTGGCTAAACAGATATCCCTTACAAGCTCACTGCTGATTGGTGCTGCTAATATTTTTATGTTTGCGTCATGATGTTTGTCTTTTAATGCCCAAGGAGATGGAAGAATGAGTTCATATCCTGTGACTCTTGGGACCAGCAGGAAACAACAAATCCAGGTCTGGAGGCAAATACAGTGCGTTTCTTTGTTGGAAACCACTAATGTAAAGCTTTATATGGCTCAGAAAATTATCCTCTCTCAGGCATTGAAAGGCTGGAAAATATGAGTAGAAGAGTCATGACACTTCTTACTCTGATTTTATAGTAATAAGTTGTTTGACACTTTGGCCAGTTTGAATGAAATCCCTCTGTGGTCATGCAAGACTGCACTTACAAGTGTGTCTCAGCAAAGCCACAGACAGAGGGGATCAGACAACGTTTAAATATATTACAAAAAGATTCACTTCGAAGGACTAATTTGTTACTATTACTAATATTTTGTTCATCAAACTTTATGTATGTTTTTTTTTCAGTATCGCAATGATTTGATTAATTTTAAATAAATTCATAAAACTTTGTTCTCCAGCTGGTCACCACTGTTTAATCCCAGTATATGCCCATCATGTCATGGCAGATATGGGCTTTGTTTGGGCTGACCAAATGAGGCCCAATTTTCAACACAGAGTGACTCCACACAGGCCCAAATGGCTTATCTGCTGCATAGTTGGAGCACCCATAATAATCCATACATCATATTCGGGCCAACACAAAAAATTACAGTCCAGACATTTCTTGTCAATGGTGCAGCGAACACACTCCAACAATGTCTCTGATGGTGATGGAAATTGCAGTCTCAACAATGGTGGACACCCATTAGTGGGATTGCTTTTTATTGACTCGTTTTTTTTTTCCTCTGCATGTGTGGGAGGTGGGCAGGGACTGAGGAGCTTTCATGACATCCAACAGTTCCCTGGAAACATGAAAGTGACTATAAAAGAGCACATGCAGGATGCATGGTGCTGGGAGTGCAGTGAGTATGCGCAGTAATCAACAGAAGATTGAGAGAGATTGAGGATGCAATTGAAAATACCATATGGTAGAGAATTCTGTCAGTAATGCTCAACCACTTAGGGTGCAATGCAAATATCTGTATTTTTGAAGTCACCGCAGCTCAATTCAGCTACATTTTCTTTGTACATGTAAAAGATATATGGTTCAATCACATCATGAAAATACTTAAAACATGTACTTAAAATGAACAAATACTGCCTGGTGTGGCTGGGATCTAAAATTGTTTCCTCATTATTCCAAATCAGTGATAACTGACACACAAGATGTCAAATAGCTGTAAAGAATTTCAAGTCAAACTGATGAGCTGTTGCCACTAGTTTATCAATATCATCCTATATGTAGTCGGACAACTTAATGGATTTTTGGTTCGTTGTTGTTTTGGTTTGTTTGTTAAATTTAAAGGATGCAGTGGAGGGCAAAATAATTTTTGTAGTAGTATGAAGTACTGGTAATGCATAAAAGGGACCAACTGGTATGAAATGGGCTCTTTATTTGGAAAAATGGTCGTTTCATTAACATATAGTTGATCTTGTAAAAATCGGTGGGAGCTTCACTGCCTGGGGGTGGGAGTGGGGGTGGGGTGGGTTTAATATATGATAGTAATAGTACAATTCATGTGAATGGACTTACCCACTATGATGCCACAGGCGCTGACTAGGCCGATTTGTTTTTTCAGAGCTACCCCGGAGCTTCCTCCTGCATCTTTCCCCACACCCGACTGAGAGGCTGGCGACTCCGGCTGATCTCCCCTGCTGCTGCTGCTGCCTCTCCGCTTCTTCGGACCCTCGCTCATCCTGTCCGGTGTGTCTGCCTCCTTTGTGCCTCAGGTGACGGGGGCAACGTCGCCCTACTAAGCCTACCAATGCATGAATCAGGAATTATGGTAGCATTGTTTAAAAAAAATTAAAAAAATTAAAATTAAAATAGCTCTGTAAATCTCATTTCCCGGACACATTTGCTGAGTAATTTCACCACCACTTTCTCTCGAGCCGTTAGATTTCAAAAATGCTGAAGGCAGTGGTTTCCATCTTTTCAGTTGGCTACAGTGGAGCTAAAATTAGATACCGCATCCCAGCATTAATAATTCAGAGTGCCACAAGATGAACGGCCCGGCCACTTTACGTGGAGGGTTTTTTTTTGTCATGGCCACAAACAGACTTTGAAAGCACTTCAGTTTGTTTGACACAATGAGTCGCTGAAAGACGTTAACTTAACCCGTAAATGTTAGATGTTGAAGTTCAAATTCACATTTTTTAACGTGCATCGCGCGAGACTAAGCCGAGTTTTCTGTAGTTACCAACTAGACTGTTGGAATTTGCAATTAACTCATCAGCAGGAACCTCCTGTTTTTTTTGTTTTGTTTTTTTTCCACTGAATAAAACTTGAGAAAGTCATTCATACAGAGCTGACCCACCTTTTCAGCAGCTGCGGTAACCTGAAAACCCCCTGGAAGCTTGCTGTTAAGTGACTGGCTTCATGTTTGCCATTATTCCTGTGGGGAGAACCGCGATGAGCGGGATAACAAAAGACCTCCAGCTGACAGCCTCGATAAATAGAAAAGCTGGTTATTTTCAACCAATCAGCGTAGCCCGAATTGTCAACACGTCGTAGGCCCCGCCCTCTGTAGTGAGGACCCAGGTCTGTTTCCTCCATTGAAAGATGATTAAGTTCCTACAGCAAGAGCATGTCCATTCAAACTGACTTCAATGGCCAACAAATTGGAGGTGTAGTACTGCTTCCAAAATAACTCATATTTCAAATGAGGGTCATGTATACTTTAAAAAACAAACATTATTGGCAAATTGCTCAAATTAACATGAAATAAGATTGCTTATCACCAGTTTTGTTCGTTTTGTTTTTTATTGTAGACTTATCATCCTACTTACAATTTGGATGGAATTTCCTATATATATTTATAGGAAATTCCATCCAAATTATATATATATTTTTGTATATATATATATATGTTTAACTTGGAGTGAGTTTTCTGAGAATGTTAACGAGAATATAGGTATTTATTGGGTTGGTTGTAGCCAGTGTGATTATCTCTGCAAGATCAAGAACTACAATGGACACAAGTCTTGGAGTTTATCATAGCATCCTTTGCATTTTTGTAGGTGACTAATGTTCTCCTTCTCAAAACGTAAACTAAAAAACTGCAGTGTAAGCTTAATACATTAACTCTCTTACATGCACAAGTATACGATCTGCATTTCAACTTATGACACTTGTCAAATAAAAATGGCAACAAGAAAACCATGATTAATTCTTTAAAACATTACCAAAATCTCATGTTAAAATTGCACAGGCAGTCAAAAGATTTTAAACATTTTTGGCCCTAGTTGTGTGTCTATCTTGAGCAAATGCAACTTGTATGTCACTTGTGAACAAGTGGTGTTATCATGCCAAGCACGCTAAGCATGATAAGACCAGGCAGGGCGTGTTTGTGGGCTATACTCATAGACTCAAGTAATGGTATGGTCAAGTATGCACGGAGAAGGGTACAGAGCAGATGGGGATCAGGAGGTGGAGCGTGTTACACTACAGACTGTAACCTAAGGGTGACATCTACTGGACAAGTCACATCTTTACCTTAGGTTGTCACCTCCTTTAAACAAACTGCACTGCCCCTGCTGTCATTATAAAATTATTCACAAATTTCTATGATTATTTATGTTCTAATCCCAAGAACTTGCAAAGCATACGGAGAACATTACAGTGTTGTCTTTATTAACATGGTTCAAACATACAGAAACAAAATAACAAAGGTATGAAGAGACACCCCCAAAACAACATGGTATGTGACCTGAATACATAACCCTCTTCTCGCCCTCGGTGCTGAGGGAAGGGGTCTTTTGTCATTATGTAAGAATTGGTATGGAATGTGTATTTGATAAGGCAAAGGTCTGGGTCGATTGAGTGTGTATGTCTGCAATGCCTGTTCAGAGGGGTAGGGAAAGAAACCATAAAGCATGACAAACCAGTGGCAAGATGACCTAATCTGAATGAGCCGTTCTCACAGCAACAACACACTTTATGTAGAGATGATGATCCACGCCTGATGAAACAGACTTCTACAGCAAATTCTGAGAACATAAGACTGAAAAATCTGGTTTACCCAATCTTTTAAATTTCATTGCCGGCTGAAAAGTGCTACCATTGGAGGTTTAAAACCCAGACCGGACTGACTAAGGGCTCACACCTCAAGTCCAGGTTTTAACTGTGTATATAAAAAACAAACCAGGCCGCCCCGCTTCAACTGCCACTGAGTCTTACTGGAAGGTGTGTGTGTATGCCTGTTGACGGGTGTGCTGATGTGTCATCTTCACAGGCCGATGGTGTAGGAGCGTCCTGCTGGGTTGTGGATGGCGGAGCAGGAGGGCTCGGTCACGGCCCATTCATACCACACCTTCTTCCCGTTGTTGCAGCGCCAGAACCTCACTGTAACATCATCGTCCCGGGTTATGGAGATGGGTTGCTATTGGAAGGAACAGAGGGAAAAAAAGGAATATTACTCTGAACATATGGCTTATTTTTTATGTAAAATAAAAGGAAATCAATTAAGAGACTATAACTCACTTTGAGGGGGAAAAGGATGGGGAACCAGGAGAACATTCCAGGTGAATGTGTGTCTGGTTTTATACCTGACACAAACACACACAATATTAACATTAATATTTAAACCAAATCTCAGCACAACACGATTCCTCTTCATTGAGCCGACTTACTGAGTGTGACGTCTTTGTACAGTGTGGTTTCAAAGTAGCCAGCAAAGCCATGCAGCACCGAGTTACAACCAACTGAGAATCTGAGGCACTGATACCGGTTATTGTTCATATCTGAAAGAAGAAAGAAACAGTGGTCAACATATTTATCATCGCATTATGGTAATGTGTATAGTGTACTTTTAAATTGGGAGTTTAGTGTGTTTTTATCTACCTGTTGTGGGGTGTGTGAAGGTGAAGCATGGTTTGGGTTCAGCCAACTGGTGGAAGTTATGGAGACGCACTACGTAGGGCGTCTCAAAATGGCACTCTGGGTCCTTGTCACGCTCCCGGCAGCTGCGTACTTCGTTGTAAAGCTTGGAGGAAGACAGAGGAGCCAGGAAGGACGTGTAGGAACAGGGGATGCTGACTCCGTCATCTGAAGGAGATGAGATGAAGGAGAAGGGGAAACAGAAAGTGATTGGAGATGCAAGGAAGCATGGAAGGTAATGGAGGGTAAAAAATGCTTTCCACGTTGTTTGATACAGTAAACAGCCGTAGGTGCTCTGCATTCAATGACATCTACGTACATCTACAGCTACAGCATCTACGTAGTTGATTGAAAGAGCCACAGTAAGAGTCATCTTAAACCACAACAGTGAATTACCTTTGAGGAAGTGCTGCGCTCCATCTAAGCATTCAGGGGAGAGTTCATTGTCACCAAACGATCCAAGCAGCTCGCTGACAATGATGTCAGCTTTCTCTGGTGCTGCCCAATCCCGCATGTCACATGACACCACAGTCACCTGATCACCCCACTCCTCAAAGCGCCAATTCTCTAGCCTGAACAAGTTACAATTAAAACATCAGTGGTGCAGGAAATTAATGACACTCAAAGTTTCAGGCTCCACCAAGTGGTCTATAATTATATGCAAAGTCTAACTACTAAAAATGAATTACAAACTTGTGTAACTTAAGAAAGGTCTTGCACATCTACACCCACTTTAACTGGTGTGTATCAGTTGCTATTCTGTTTGCAGGGAAAGGAATTTTTGTTCAGATGGTTTCAGTTTTTGTGTGTTAATATTTTTCCTATGTATGCTTCAGTGTGTACAAACATCCACATTTAACACAAAGTGCAGTGTCACACTCACGTGATTACAGCATTGGGATTTTTCTCTACAGCATACACCCTCAGCTTCCTGTCTGCCTGTCTGGCAGCACGCAGGGACGCATTGACCAGGGGACCCCTACCTGCTCCCAACACCATCAACACTCTGTGTGAAAGAGAAAACATCATTTTACAGGATGCTTCATGACTTCTCTCACAAATGAAGCTATAAGCTGTGGCACTATTCTGTCATTATTCATTGAAAGAGTTGTGTCCTGCTACTCACTGGACATTTGTGTCTTTCTGCTCCTCAGGAACTCTGTCAAGTAGACATTTATATACAGCCTGGAAACACAAAGACAAGCAGGTGCATCAATATGTTGGATGTCTATAGAAGATAAACCTGCTTTTAAACCATCTTTTATATATATATAAGATAATCAAACAAGAATAAAATATGGCCCACTAAGACTTAACCAGCAATCACTTCGAAGTCATTTCCAACCTGCTGCTAAAATCCTGGTTTTATAACCACATGACGTCGTCTGACTAAATCCCCATACACACGAGTTAAAGACAAAGACTGTGCAGTGATTTCAGCTATAGTTCCTTGTAAGTGTTCACTCAGAGAGAAAATTAGAAGTGACAGTCTGTCTTATTGTGTCTCTCACGCAGCTCACAGCCTCCGTCTGGGTAACAAAATGCTGCTGAGGTGTGCCTCTCGCTCGCACGTGGCTCTCTTATATGGAAATGAGCTACGATTTGTCCAAACAGTCAGAATTGTCTTTAGATGCTTTTTGAGAGAAAAAAAAAAAAAAGTCACTAAAAGGTGTCTAAAAATGAAAACTGTTGTGGAACTGTGTAAAGTCCAACACTCGGTCAGCTGACTAATGGTGTCACTTCATCACCATCATTCACTCAGTCACAGACATTTGGGGATAATGCGCTGGACCGTAGCTGTGCATTAAATGGCTCTACAACATTTACAGCTCTAACCGTCAGCTCTACGTCTTTCACCTGAATTTAAACAGAAAGAGACAAGTCAGTGATGTCCAAGTCCTGTTCACAGCAACTCCCCGTTCAGTGCTGCTACACTGCTTTTTTTTTTGTTTGTTTTGTGGCTGAATATTTTGTTTTTGTGGTTAAATCATTTGGTGAGCTTCCATCATCCTCCCAGCAGTGGCTCAAAGATCAAAAGCTTGGCAAACTGTGATCACCAGGCTGGCTAATACCAGACTGCCCACCAAACCAAAGTGCCTTATAATTTTAAGATTCTCAGCAGGCTACACACTAAGTAGGGAAGATTTTTTCCAGTTGATTGAAGATTCCTACATAAGTATTGAACCAAACTCCCCACGCTCAGCCAATATCAGCCCATCAGGTGCTGGTTGGTCATAGACACAACTTAAATGAAAATCAAAGTAAAAATAAACATCACCTCAGTGTGTGGTGGTTCACTTTGGTTTTCATTTACACGAGTATATTTAAGTCGGGGTCTTAAATGAATGCTGTAGATGCTGTTCAACTTCACTATGTACAGAGGGCAGCAGGCATGTGGAATATGGATGGGTGCTTTTAAGGGTTATGGTTCATTAGACACAGGAGAAAACTCTGCTTCATGTGAAAGTCAATAAACACTGTCAATTTGATGAAGCATATCTGCTGTGTGAGATTAGACACTACAAACAATGTCACTGTGAACTGGTCGTAACCTCCAGACGGTTCTGTGTAGACTTTTAGACACTGCAATTTTATAGAGGAAATAACACTGTGGATACACTGTATTTGTCTAACGTGCAAACAAAGTTCTGCTTGTGGTTTGTCAACTTGTGCTCTACGGTTCTCCAGTACTGTGAAAATGTTCCGGCGGGTGCAGTTACCACTTTGTCTAATGGCCTTACTTGTTGGTACTGTGAGTATTTAATAGGATCCTTCTCAAACACTTCATATGTCTGAGACTCCAGGTTGTCCATGAGGGGCTACAGGGAAGAGAGAAAAACACTCTTCAGTCTTCACTGTCAAAAGGTAAAAACACATTTATTTCAGATACATGAACACAAATAGGCACTTTCTTACCTGGAGGGGAGACTGCAGGTAGTCTTCGTAACCCTTGGCAAAGAGCTCATACGCATTGGGTGCGGGCCGGTTCTGGTTGAGGTATTCCAGGTACTGCAGGTAGGATCTGAAGTCCTTGTCAGTGTGGCGACTGGTGCCCATGAAGATGAACTGGGCCTCCAACTGTGTAAAGAGATTGTTTGTATTAAAATAATACCTAGACATTTAGTTAATTTCTTTTCAATAAAAACGGCTTGTAATTATTATTTTGTACCTTGAAAAGACGGAAGATTATTCGCTGATGGGCTTTTGACAAAACAGGGAAGCCCTTCTTATTAGTTAGGAAGATGCTGGTGGGAAGTATGGCTGCTTTGATAGGTTCCCCGAGCCACTTATCTATCACAGCATCTGACGGCATGTCTGCTCCGACTTCAATAGCTTTAAGAATACAACACAGTAAATTTTTAGTAGCAGACATAATGACATAATTATTTCTTAATACACTGACTTTGCCCAAGGCAGCTGCTTCACAGTGTGCTCTCTCACCGAGACAGATCCTCTTGTTGTAATCACAAAGGGTTCTAAATGAGTGCCACCTGAAAGACCAGAGGCGGGTAAAGAAAGTGAATCAGGATTTTAAAGGAAATCAATGACAACTGTTTTAGCACGCAGACAACACTCGACTGCTCGGGAAGTGGGGCTTTCATGAAACTCACCAGCTCCAGGTCTTCTCATCAACACTAGTGTCATCGATGCAAGAGGTCGCTTCATTCTCAATGAGATCTTCCCGCATGTCCTCCGACGCCATTAGCGGGACACGTATCCAGAACTATTCAGACACAGAGGACAACAGCAGTTAACTGATGACTTCAGCTTCCTGTCTCGCTTCGCTGTTATCTAAAAGCAATCTACGTGGGCATATTGAGTTTTTCTTAACGCTGTGTCTTACATTTGAGGTGTGGTGTCCGGTGTGGATGTGGTTCAGTAGCAGGCGGGCTAAATTGGCATTATGAGGGCCCCTAAGAGGAATCATGAAGACAGGCAGACCCAGGTAGGCCGAGAAGTTTAGCTCCTGCGCCAGAGCCTGAAAAAGAATGATGAAAGCATGAAGGGGAGGACATGACGACCCATGTTAGGAGGGGTAGAGACAAGACACTGGGCACCATGAGTCGACTCATGCTACAACATCTTGAGATCAAAGAACCCTCTTTATAAAAAAAAAAAAAAAAAAAGTGTAGGAACTTACGGCCTCTGAGTTCCTGCGCTCTGTCTCGATTTCTGAATCCGCGTCGATCCATGGAGAGAGCTTCCCAACAATAAGAGTATTCCAATCTAGACAAAGCATAATGAGCATTTTTAAAAAAGCATATCAAGTGTCATATTATCATTTGTTGTCAATCCCTTGAGTCATCCAAGCTTTCAGTTTTCTGGTCCCAAACCAAGTGTGAAAAAGGGCTGAAGTTGATATTTAATCTATGATAATAGGAGATAATATGAGAACCCCTTTTGTTAGTGATGGTACAAAGAGAACAGTGTTTTAATAATCCCAGTGAAAAAATGCAGCCAGGAAATGTGTCATAAAATATTCTTGATGATGTGATTTATTTGGGTGTTTACTTTTAAAATTGATTGATTCAACTTTCCAGCCTTTAAGTTCACATTTTCAAAGATTCATCATGTCACATGTTGAATGCCTTTTTTTGGTCTTAATAAACTGAGTCAAGACCAGGGAAGTTGATTAAATGAAGTTCAGACTTTATCGTTCTTATACCAACAGGGAAGGAAAACTTAACAGCAATAGATTATGATATGTTGTACTGTATTTAATAAATATATTACAATGCTGTCAATAAACCAAAGCAAAGGAGCAATATTATGTCTGAGAATGTACAATAGATCTGTAACAAAAGGGGTGAGGTGGTTTAAAAGTTAGAGAAGCAACCCTGTGCCTGCCTATGTGGTAATATACTGTACATCTGGGTGAACTGTACATTAGTGTTAGCAGGTAATATTATGTACTGGGCAGCAAGGTGCCCAGTCAAAATACAACTGAACATGATGAAACTTGAACAGGCATAGAAACTAGTGTGGCTATTATAATAACAGTAAATAAATCTGAGTGGTTCAACAAGAAAAACTGGAATTCAGGAGCAAATGCCTGTTATCTTTATCAACATTTTATATGGAAGTTTACTCTTGATCTGTCATTTAATCAACCATCAAGTCATCCATCACCTATGGTTTTACAATGGGCCTATTCCAGCATAGAGGGGTACAGTTATCAACTGTCTAGAAAGAACTTAAAACAAGTTAATGACTATTAACACCTGACATAATAGAAGATAGTAGAAGGACTAACCTCTTCCACACAGCAGCAGATCTGACCGGGTCTGGGCACCAAGTCGGGATTTAGCGGGATCCAACTCAAACTCTCTCTTGAACCTCGGGTGGAACAGGGGCATGCACAGGAAGTCAAACCTGGACATCAGAGAAAGAAATCAGAGTTTTATCACTGATATGATTTGAAAAAAAAGTCAGCTAGATGTAAAACGTAAACCTGTTTGCCTAACTGTCCCCCAGCCAGCTCGCGAACATGGACAGAATAGCCTGTACGAGTATAAGAGACTGGGCACCAGAGTCAAGCATCGTTGTGATTCGGCACGTGCTGGTAATTCACCGGCTAGCTTAGCAAGCATCACGCACTATGCTAGCAACCCCGCACACACCTCTCTTAAACTCACTTCCACTAAAAAAAAGAACCTGTAGATTGCTGTATGCTCCTTACCCAAGTTTGGCGACCGCGGCTAACGTGTCGGCAACCTCCGGCACACAATTCAAATCTCTCCCGCAGGACACCCTGCTCCCCGTACTGGCAGACGCCATGATTTTTGCCGACTGAATGATTGACTGGGACCATCTCGTTGCGCTGCCTTTCGAGGAAACTGACGCCATCTTGGATCTGCAAGGACGCACATGCCCATTGGATAGCAAGGTGTGTAAGAGCCAAAATGGCTTCGCTACTACGTCAGTTGCATGGTTCGTAAATTACCGCGATAACTGCGCGTCGTGGGTCTTGAGTTTATGGTTATTGTACTCAGCAGTTGAAGTCTTTGTGTTTTTTGACTTACTGCAGAAATGTTTTGCAAGACAAACACATTTTATGCTGTAAAATGTTAAAATGGGACTCAGAATAATTTGAAAAATGATTATCTGTCCGTGCATGAAATATAATTCTTCTGCAGTTGCTCACGTTGTATAAGGACATGTATGTAATGTATAATGCCAGTTTAGGGTCCGTGCATGACGAACGACTATTGCTTTTCCCTCAGATTATCATATTATCTTCAGTCCTCTATTCCTTATGTTGTTGTTTTTATAGCTATATTTTAGACACGGATGGAAAGTAGGTGTATTACTAAATGAAAATCCTACTGTTGGTGGTTGGTGCCTTCTCTTAACAACAAACTGAAAATGATGACAAAGATGTGTATGGACTTGCTTACAAATGACAAGATGATTTGGTCACTAAGCAAAATGTACAAGGTTTGCAGAAAGTGGCTTCTCTGGATATCACTTTTACAGCAGATAGGATAAAATATCACTTACGTCCACAGGTGTGTGTGCGTGTGTGTGTGTGTGTGTGTGTGTGTGTGTGTGTGTGTGTGTGTGTGTGTGTCATATTTGAGAAGCCTATAAAAGGATCACAACATTGTCTTTTTTGGAGTAGACAGTCAACAGAAGATGAGAGGTTGCAGGGGTCTCTACTACAAAATCACAGTGGGATGTACAAAGTTTATGACTTTATGACCAGTTTTCCTCAGGATGCACTCTGGTTTAATCTGTGTTTGAGGAACACTTTTTGCCTGCCAATCACTCTGTTTTTTTGATCAAGGAATCTCTTGTATCTGCTTATATGACACCATTATGGCTTTAGAGGATATTTGCAGTTTCAAGGACACTCCTGTGTATCACAAGTGGTCTTCATCTTTGGAAGATACTTTTCATATGACTGACTATTACAGTTTTGGATCGAGGAGATTAAAAGAATGCGTGACAACTGGTGAGGTCCCACTACAATTTTTCTTACCAACTTTACCAAACTCTGCCTCTATCAACCACAGACCTCCGTTCCCGGCCAAGCATTCAGTGACAGTCCGCAGGCCTTTCCCTCTGTCTCACGGAACAACGACCCTTGGTTTCATTTTCCAAGGTGGTGTCATTGCAGCTGCAGACACACGTGCCAGTGCTGGGGGGCTTGTTGCCTGCCCGGCTGTTCATAAAGTTACCCCGATTCACTCCCACCTGGTGGTCACCTCCTCTGGGAGTGGTGCAGACTGCATGCTGTGGGAGCGAATTCTGACCAGAGAGATCAGACTCTACCAGCTGCGGCACAAACGGCGCCTGTCAATACGTGGGACTGCTAAACTCCTATCATTTATGCTGCACCCCTTTAAAGGGACTGACGTGTGTGTGGCTCTTACATTGTGTGGCTGGGACAAAGAAGCAGGTAACACTGACTGTGCAGACTCATCCTCTTTGACTGGTGATAGCTTCTCAGCTGCCGTTAGTAGCCAAGATGTAACTGCAATGGCATGTTCTGCATCCCCTAACAGTGGCCCACAGCTGATATATGTGTGCAGTGATGGAGCCCGACTGCAGGGAGATGTCATTTCTGTGGGCTCAGGTTCTCCTTATGCTTATGGAGTCCTGGATATAGGACTGAGGGGGAGCCTGAGCAAAGACGAGGCCATCTCTTTGGCAAGAGAAGCCGTGTTCAGAGCTACTCACAGAGACGCCTACTCAGGAAACAGTGTGGACCTCTTCCACATCACAGCCCACGGATGGAAACAAAGAGAGAGGGAGGACCTGAAAGAGGAATATTATAGAGACATGGAGAGGAGGGCAAAGATAGTGGAGGAAAGAAAAAGACTGACAGAACCAAAAGTTCCCACATGAGTCAAAGTATATGTGTGGGAGGAGGGGTGGGGTTGGGGGCACAAAATTTTAGAAATAGTCATGTTTTAAAGATAAAATCGCTGGCTTTGATTTTTTTTTTTTTTAAACTTTTCATAGTTTAATCGCTTTTGTTTGCCAGAAAGAAAACTTATTTTTTCATAGACTCTATCATAGTAAGTCTTTTTTTTTAATTTACTACTTGTTGGTATTTGTTTGTCTCTCTTCACAGTTTATCCAACTTTTTATGTACCTACACATCACTGCACTGACACTACACTCCTCCACAGCCACAGGGGGCGCTGTGGGATTTTGCCGCCATGATTCGATAAATGTTCCTGCCTTTACGCGGCGGAAGCTGCTTGCTCATCAGACAGTTTCAAAGATGGCTCTTGCTAGTGTGTTAAACAGTGATTGTGCGGATTTTTCTTTTGATAATTGTCAGCCTTTTGCGTCTGGTTCTGGACCCGGACATAGCGGTCTGGGTTTTGAGGCTACTCCCGGAGACAGCCTCAGTTTTTCCGTTAAAAACCCGCTGTGTGCAGGGGACGATGATGGCGTCGAGAGGAAAATAGAGTTTCTGCATGGGACCACCACCTTAGCATTCAAAGTAAGTTAAAGAGTAGATAATTGTAGCTAGCTGGCACCGTAAAACAATAACGAACTGCATAGTTGTCAAGGAGAACGTCTAATAAATCATTCAGACTTTAAACATCACGCTTTAGAGCTAACATAGCGGCTCGTCCCGAACGTTAGCATGCTAGCATGGCTACAAACCGCTTTCTCATTGCAGATGCTCACATGGCCATTTGTGATGGTTTGTGTTTGACGTTTCTGGCTGAAAAGCAGCACGGTACATGTAAGCAGGTCTGCGTGTGCTTTTGACAGCAATGACATTACTTATGTCACTATAGCTAGTTGCCCTTTGACTTTATTTGCACCTGGCCAGTGCATGATTGGGAAACTAGATATCAAGTATGTAAACAGCACCAACTCGCATACTTGTTTTATGCTCTAATCGTTTTTCAATACAATACACTTGAAGTGTTACAGGGGCTTTCTTTTTGTATTGTGGAATAAAAGTTAAATGTAATAAAAACTGTCCAAATTTTTTATATTTCCAAGTTAAATACATCACATCCTTGGAGGCAAAGAAGGCAGGGGCATTAAAGCATATATTTACTTATCAGATTTCACATTTAGTACAAGCTTTCAACCCCAATAAACTATTTATGCCCAGATGAGGCTGGGTAATTGTAGACCAGAGGATCTGGCTAGTCAGAAATTTAAATTGTAAGTTAATGACTTCAGGAATGATATGTCCTGCCAAGCTTTTTAAAACATCTATGACTGGAAGGAGAACAGCCTGTACAACTTCTCATTACAATTTATTTTTCACATGTATTATTTGTTCACTTAATTACCTGATTATACTTTATTCAAATGTTTCCCCTTTTAAGGTGGCTGTCATCTGTGAGTGTCCGTATCTGATGTTCTCACTAAATGAACGGGGCATGAAATTCTGACATAGATAATACTGACTGTGGTTTCCCTAAAACTGTCAAACTTAAAGATATTAAGTATAAAACATATTTCTATCAGCCTTCAAAAATAGTTGAGTCATAACTAACATACAACATACCATGAGTTTATTACACACACACACACACACACACACACACACACACACACACACACACACACACACACACACACACACAAGCACACAATGTGTATATGCTTCTTGAATGTAGTAGGAGTAAAGGACATAGGAGATCCTGAAGCTCTGATATATAAATAATTAAAACAAAGAATGGGCTTTCTAAAAGTTGAGGCACACTGCTTACTTTTGCTGCAAATATTTAGGCTTAAAATTATGTTAAAATGAGTCCAGGTGGGTTTACATTCCACGGAAAGAAGTGGATACTGTTATTTTGTAATTATCATCAAGTCCCATGAAAACACCAAAACTAACAATGGATTTTATGCCACTAACAAGATTGTGTAATGGCTGAATATAAATTCTGCCTCTGTGCCACAGAACTCCATTGTTGTCCATAAACTATTAAAAACACATAAAAGAGCCACACTGTTACATTTGGGAGACACACAACTTGTCACGACAATGAAAAGCCATTTTAGCTTTCTCCTCTCAGTTTGTCAGAGGAGCAGAGCACTGTAAATACTGAATGCTATTCCTGCTGTTGGTTTTGGTCTCTTCAGGGGATTTGCTGATAAAAAGAAAAGATAAATAACGGCAACCTTATCCCTTAATCCCGGAGCGACGTGGAGGCTGGTTCGATGAAAACCTCCCCAGCAGGCATCTTCCTCTGACTGGCCAAATCTGTTGTCTTCATTTTAGTAATGTACTGCTGTTGTGACTTGTCAGTTCACTGATTGTGGATTTTGGAGGGAAGAACAAAAGTCTAACCTTTTATCCAGCAGCTTTTGTGGCAGAGCTCAAACCATGTATTGCTTTCTCTGACAGCTGTAGAGCAGCGGCACATTTCTGCCTTGTTTACACACAAATAATGGAAGCTAACAGATGCAGTAATTATAACATGCATACTTGCATTGATTTACTCGCCACTGACTCTATGGTGTAAAAAAAAAAAAAAAGAAAAAAAAAAAAAGAAATGGTGCTTCCAAATTTCGGTGACATGATCAGGCAATAATTGCTCTGTGATGTGCTTCACTAACATGTGTCTCCCCTGCTGTTGCCTCTCTCAGTTCCAGCATGGTGTTATTGTTGCTGTGGACTCTCGAGCCACGGCGGGCTCTTACATCGCATCTCAAACAGTGAAGAAGGTGATTGAGATCAACCCCTACCTGCTGGGTACCATGGCTGGAGGAGCTGCAGACTGTAGCTTCTGGGAACGTCTGCTGGCCCGCCAGTGCCGCATCTACGAGCTGCGCAATAAGGAGCGTATCTCAGTGGCAGCAGCCTCCAAGCTGCTCGCTAACATGGTGTACCAGTACAAGGGCATGGGACTCAGCATGGGAACCATGGTGTGTGGCTGGGACAAGAGAGGCCCAGGTAAATACAACAGCTGTATATGACGTGCACATCTGGCCTATACTTGGTATTAATTTATTGTTCCCAATTGAGATTTCTGTAAAGAGCCACATCAAGACATTTACTTATAATCACCTTTTTCAGTGTTTTAAAAAAAATCTTGCTTGGTAAATTTCCTTCTTTTTAAACTGAATAGGGTCTTTTTTGTTGAATGTTTTTGTGACAGGTTGGATATGGAACAACAGAGATGCAATGATTGATCTATTAATCAGAGTAAAAGTGGTAACCATTTGGATAATTGATTAATTATTTAAGTAAGTTTGCGAGTAACGATGCCAAACGGTTTCTAGTTCCAGCTTCTTCCGCTAATTTGCTTTATTATTTTTTATGTCAGAGTGAAGAAAACAAGGAATTTGACCTCTGGGTCTTTTTAATTTTATTTTCTGATATTTTTAGGCTAAATGATAAATCAGTTTATCACTTACATAGTTAATACGATGGAATATGTTTGACTTCAGTGGAGCAAGAAAATCTATTTAGAACTAGACATAAAACAAGACAAAACTTTTGTCCTGTAGAAAAAAAGATTTTTGTGGCTCACTGCTTTGAATTTGAGTTAAGATTTAAAGATTCTAGAAACATATATTCAGTACAAATTGCGTATACTTTGTAACTCTGTTTAGGGGGCTCCTGTTTTACCACATAGAATTTTCAGTGGTCAGTCTTATATTTTTGTAAGTCAGTTTAGTATCACCAGACATGTATTGTAACAAATTTCTTTGAAAATATTAGTAATTCATGTCGGATTGACACACTCAAACATACTGAGCACACATTTATTTCACAGTCTAGCGATACTAGAAACGTATTGCAATAGCCCAATGTACAACATCCCACATATTGGTACCAATACTTTAAGAATTTCCTGTGTTGATGTGTGACAGCAGGGCAGTGTGTGTGTGCGCAGCACCCAGCTTCCACTCCCTGCACTCCGCTTCTACTAAACATGACAGCAACAAAACGAGAGGTGTGGCTGCAAGTACAAGCGCACTTGCTGTCCATTCACGGCTTGTCGACTAAGCAGACACACAAAGTGAAAATGGCATTATTTCATTCACGTAGCCGACAGTCAGGACAAACCACAGGAACCACAAAGCCCATTTGTTAAAGATGTTTCAAACCTGCGCAGACCAAGGGAGCCAACACCAACATGTCTCACGACAGACATGCCAACCTGTTCAAAGGATTCACTGAATGACAGTTTAGTGAATGTGATGGGTGACATAATTACATCATGCCCCTGCCATCAAATATAAGTCAAATGAGTCAAGCAACAAGCAAAGTTTTCTCACCACTTTGATGAGGCAATAAAGAGCAATGATAATTGTTTAATTTGACTTTATCTTTTTAGCTAACATGTTAATGAGACAAATACCTCTATATGAAAATGCAGCATTCACACTAGTAACCTTAACTTGACCATAACTTCCAAGCTGCTTAAAATCAGGCGTTCACAAGTACACAGATGAACAACACCAATCATGCAATTTATACTCAATCAGTTCTGGTAATGGTTATCATGGCATGTACATTTTTGTCAATAATTACTTCTATTATTGGAAAAAAGATTGCCGTCGCCAAGGAGAAGTGTTGAGTGTAATTATGAAGTTCAGCCCCGGGATTATTAGCCTGCACACTGCAGTAGTGCACTAAAGTAGACTGAACAATACAATACACCTCCTTGTATGAGGTCTGCACTCTTCTGAGCTCATTTACTAGTTTTTCTATTTAGTCAAATTAGATTTAAAAATGACAATTAATGAGAACAGACTCATGGTATAATTTCACTATCGAGATATTTAAGCAGGGATCGCATCAATTATAATTTTGCTATTGTGTTGACAATAAGCTGAAGCGATGAGCAAAATATTCCACTCATTTAAATGCACAGATCATGAAGCAGTGTCCCTATTTGTAGCATTCATTA